CTATCTAGATTTTGCACGACGTGCGTGCTTTCCTGATGTTGCCCAGACTTTCTTGATTTGGCCCCTCGTGTCTTTGTCTCCTCCCCCTTTGCCCTCCCTTGCTTTTTATTCTTTTCTGCATATGTTGCCTAGGTCTTGCTTATAATAAAGCTTCAGTTGATAGTTTGCGCTTGTCTGTCCTTTTTCTCTACTTCGTGTTTCCGTGTGTTTTTTTGCGCAGGGCACTTATGAATCTGTACCAACTTGCCCAACTAGCCATTCTTCCGGTTGTACCCCCGCGAATTCCAACGACAGCGCAGCTCTGGCCGACCGGCTCGCCCTCAACCATCTCCTGACGCCCTAAAGCACTCGCTGAGTGGTGCCCCATCTGCGGACTTCTGCGACCATGTCCATCGTTCTCTATCCTCTCTTTACTTCTGTATGTGGGCGTCCTCATCTCTATCCCTATCCCTTTTAATCTCCCCTTGCCCCCATCCGTCGCACTATGATGCAGACAGTTACGGGGCTCACCTATATCTTCTTTTCTATCTTTTAAGAATCACTTGTATATACGTGGGCATCGTCTCACTCGCGCCACCTTTCTCCATCTGTCGGCGAGAAGAAACCATAAGCCGCCAGGTGCGCGCGCTACGCGCGCCTCGAGAATCTCGCGGCGTCGACAATGTGGATAGCGCGCCGACGGGCGGGACGCCGTCGCGGCATGCTTGCCGCTGTGTGCGCGTACCTTCCCCGGCTGTCGCTGGCGTTGCGAGAGTTAGCGAAGCCAATCGCGTTCGCCGAGCGACGTCAACACCGACAAGGCGCGAGCCAGGGAAGCCGAACGCAAGCGTCGGCACTGAAACCAGCGACACCGACGAGGTGCGAGTCAAGAACAGCAATCGCGTTCGTGAATACAGATGGCACGTGGGTAACAATAATGAGACGCAAGCCAAAAAAGCAGAGCGCAAGCGTCTTCAACGCGTCCCACCTCCCGTGTCTTTGCGTTTCAAACAAGCGTTTACTCGAGTAAACGCTGCACAAAGCTCCGCTTCAAACCGTTCTTGCAGCACCTGCGTCGACGCCCGTTTCAACTGGGTCAGCGCCATGCGCGCCACGGCTGCTTCGCATCCCATCAGATTAATTGCTTGATTGAATGATTTATTGATTGATTGATACGTAGAGTTTGACGTCCCGAAACCACCATATGATTATGAGAGACACCATAGTGGAGGGCTCCGGAAATTTCGACCACCTGGGGTTATTTAATGTGCACCCAAATCTGAGCACGTGGGCCTACAGCATTTTAGCCTCCATCGAAAATGGAGCCGCTGCAGCCGGGATTCGATCCCGCGACCTGCGGGTCAGCAGCCGAGTACCTTAGCCACTTGACCACCACAGCGGGGCTCGCATCCCGTCAGAGTTCCCTTCGGAGAGATGGTCCATAGTTTTTCTCTTTTTTTACAAATGTGTCGCTATCGCGCGAACGACCCTTGGTAGCGTAATTGAACTGGATGGTTATGACTAATCTAATATGGCGCGTTATATTAAAAAAAGCACCCTGGGAGACAGCTCCGGCGCGGAGGCAGAACTTGGTAGGATCCTTTCAATGCGCTAATCTACTCAAGACGCACGCGGTGATGAACGTGACGCGTTCCCAGCAAGAAGGCACCGCGGCGACCTTCGTCGTTAAAAGACGTCTACTCAAAGCAAGTCATCGTGAAAAACGCGCACATTTCGTTAGCGTGAGGCATGGGAACGCCAGGTTCGCCAGACGACGGCTGTCGGCGGTGGGTGACAAAACCTCCTGGCGGGTGAGTCGTGTCACCATTCCTTGGCAGGAGATCGATTGAGCCATGCGGCGTAATATGACTTCTGCAGACAAGCTGACTGGGGAAAAAAATATGTATAATCAGAGTAGGTGCAAACATTTGCGGGTACGCGTTTAGTCATCTTCACGAGTTTCTGACAATTCGAGAAAAGAAGAATGAGAGCGTTCTGATGCTGCAGTGCGGTCTCCGGCCGTGAAGCATCTTAACTTTATATTAGACTGTCGACAAGAGAACTGTAAATGCTGCGAGCTCAATACAGCTGACATCGACCCTCAACTATCAATGCATTTATGCAAGAAGACTATAGACAATACGACGCCATCACAAGCGCTCACCGTGTTCCTCCCTTTTGTTTTATTTAATCAGTGTCATGTGCTGGATAGTTCCGTCACTGTTATTCCACCGTCATTGTCGGTAATATTCCAAGTCAAAGCATCAATTCTGCTTGTTTCGCATATTCAGGCAATGTCGGGATAAAGTCTGGGGCATTAATTAAATTACGATTACTAGAAAAACTGCATGCTTATTTTTTTTTTTTTGTATGGGGAGCCTCTAGTGAAGAAATTCCCCTAGTTCGCAGGGGCTGCCAAGGAAAAAAATAATAAAGATAATCGATCACAGGAGTACTGTTCTGTCTGCTGAATGCACGTTAAAAATTCTACGTGATGTAGAGTTCCTAGTTCCATAGTCTCTCTGCAGATGATAGACGCTGCATAGCATAACCCATGTTACGACAGGCATTAAAACGGCGACTAATCCTTGAGAGTGTGCTTACTTTTTCTGTGTTTTTTTTGCAATTTATGCATGCGTGTATGTATATATATGTGTGTGTAATTAAAATAGTTTGTGTTCGTATTATAACATTAATTCATGAACACATTAATACACGTTGCTTCTTCTGTAAGGTAAGGCTACGACAAGCGAGAGTAAAAACGGTGCGAGCAAGACGGTGCCGCCAGAGCACGTGGATGGATGGATGGATGGATGGATGGATGGATGGATGGATGGATGGATGGATGGATGGATGGATGGATGGATGGATGGATGGATGGATGGATGGATGGATGGATGGTGGATGGATGGATGGATGGATGGTGGATGGATGGATGGATGATGGATGGATGGATGGATGGATGGATGGATGGATGGATGGATGGATGGATGGATGGATGGATGGATGGCTGATGGATGGGTGGGTGGATGGGTGGATGGACGGGTGGATGGGTGGATGGACGGTGGATGGATGGATGGATGGATGGATGGATGGATGGATGGATGGATGGATGGATGGATGGATGGATGGATGGATGGATGGATGGATGGGTGGGGGGTGGGTGGGTGGGTGGATTGATGGATGGATGGATGGATGGATGGATGGATGGATGGATGGATGGATGGATGGGTGGATGGATGGATGGATGGATGGATGGATGGATGGATGGATGGATGGATGGATGGATGGATGGATGGATGGATGGATGGGTGGGTGGATGGGTGGATGGGTGGATGGATGGGTGGATGGGTGGATGGATGGGTGGATGGATGGGTGGATGGATGGATGGATGGATGGATGGATGGATGGATGGAGGATGGATGGAATGGATGGATGGATGGATGGATGGGTGGATGATGGATGGATGGATGGATGGATGGATGGATTGGATGGATGGATGGATGGATGGATGGATGGATGGATGGATATGGCTGTACCCTTTAGATCGGGCGGTGGCTAGCGCCACCAAGCCGTAATACTTAATGAACTCAAAACTACATTTATTTATGTGACTGGGCTGTTCGCGCGCTCCAAGCGAGCACGGAACGTACAATGGTCTCATACTTTACTGATTCGTACTCTTGACCTCACCAGCTCAATTTTTCTGTTAAGTGACTCATTCTAAAGCAAATTCCTCCGTTCGATTGGCGGCATTTCAGTGGTGTGAAGAGGATTTCCCTGCGCGAGAAAGATGTGTTTTAATTAGCCAGAAGAGTACGTATGTATTCGGCCTGGTAGTACATTTTGCTCAGGGTTAAAGATTATGCACATGGTAGATGTTACATGTACATTCGCTAGAACGCACAGCACAGAAATAGGTTTATTTTTCTTTGTGTGCAGCAGAGTTCAAATAACAAAGAGCGGACACTAAGCCAATAGTCCTTTTCTGAAGCTCGAAAACCTCAGCGTCCTGCATATGGAAACCTTATGACATTAGGGCATGCCCATTGTACACGCAAATTACAGGGAAGTCACACCGACAGTTGTTTGAAGACAATGACTGAGTTTTGGTGCGTCAGACTAATATAGCCACTACGAGCATGCGATGCGCGTTATCACTCAGACTAAATTACTTTGATCGCTAGAAAAAGAAAACGGGGCAAGAAGAAATGAAATAATTATGTTTTGTTGAAACTCCTACGACAGCACAGGGGCATCGGTGGACCGATGGTAAGAAACATGCATAAAATGGTGGCAGAAAATTTATAATATCGATTCCTAAAACAGGCCACGCTGCTGATTGCACGCATTTTAGCCCACCCCCTTATCTCTGGATGACCTACCCGTACATTATAGTTGGGCTGCCGCCAGATTTTAAGTTGGACCAACATCGATCTAACGGTCACCCATCCTAAAATTTTCCAAAAATATTATTACTCAACAGCTCCTCCAGCTGGCTTCTTGGCACACACATACTTAATGCAAGAAAGCAAGCTTTCAAGGCAGCATGAGGAAAATAGTTTTCTTTAATTAATTAATTTATTTTTTTCTTAATTATTTTCTTATTTTCCGAAAGAACTTCGTACCAATGTCAGCATATGTGAATCACCTATTGATTAAAGGTTGTAAATCACGTTTATTGCTATCAAAATGCACAATTACCTAGCTAAATTAACTAACTAGCTAATTAACTAAATTCGATGGTTCAGTTCGTCTTTCGGAATTCGTACAAATAGCACAAGAAAGAAGGCACGTACAAGACACGTATGGAAGAAGCACGGGATGTTTGCTGTATATTCAGTCTCTTTCTTTCCTTCCTTTTTTTTCTTTCTATTTTTTTCTCATTTCTTGATTCTTTCATAATATTGCAGTTACACAGCAGAGTGCTTCTGTTGAACACACTTTCTTAGTACCACATACAGCGCCACTGCGTGGCCATTCACTCGGTTAAATTTTCACCTCTCGTGACCTCATTTCAGAACTTTGCCGTGGAACTTCAGGTAGAGGACCCCGGAGAGCTCACCGAGGATCACATCAAAAACACAGTGAGCAAGGCCGGAGGAACTGACTACGGCACGGCGTCGTAGACGACGCCCCGCCCAGCACAGTTTTCTCCACGTTTACAAGAAAAATAAAAAAAAAAGACGTGTCTTGAGAAGGCCGGCTCCTCTTTCCTAGTTTCACAGCTCTCGACAGGAGAAAACTGAATGACGAAAGAACATCCAGAAAAACTGTTCTTCCAGCGGAAACATCGCAGAACGTTTACCGGGGGAAGAAATAAACAGAATAAAGTAGCATCTCTGTTTTGTTTTGTTTTTCTTTCTCTTTTTCGTCCTTGCTTCCTTTTTATCCGATGGGAGAAAACGCTTCTGCAAATCCTGTACAATTCTCGGCCTATATACAGTGTACTGAAAATAAAGAAATCTGCAGTGCTCACTTACATACTCAGTTTTAAAAACGTCTGGCATCAGAAAATTGTATGGGCGTCGCTCGTAGATATATGAAAGCAACAAGGAATTGAGGCGCTGTTCGGCTTCTCGCGGCCTCGGCATCCTTTCTCATCAAGAAGTCTCGCGCAAAGCGATCAAACTCGGAGTGATATATCCTGTCGGTGTACACGTAGAGCTAGAGTAAATGCAGAAATATTATGAAAACAAAACAAACAAAAATTAAAGAGCAAAAAGGTATGAAGGTGCGGTTAGCGCTCCAATTAAGAATTATTTGGCGATTCGGCACAGGTGATATATTTTACTGAACATTATGACATTATACAGCGTACTATAGGCAAGGTTCTTTACCTTTCTTACTTTTTTTTAACAATACAGGTTTTTTATGATAATGCTACGACAGCTAGTCAGGCACCTGTCATCTTCGAACACGCATTCTACATTTAGGCAGAAATACTTTGCGGCGGGTAGTTCTGCATTAATGCGAGTAATTAATGTAAACTGGTAAATTAACATTTTATAATAACGTGAGCATACTTGATAATATGGTAAAGCTGTAGGATGTGACAATTAATCTATGGCATACCCCTTTTTTTAGAAGTCTCCAAAAACACACCTGTAGCCTCCCCTACACTAACCTATTCTGCTGACCGGACAGCTGTCATCGAAGACCGGCTTCTGCCTCGCTTGCACTTGGTCGAGGCACGTTTGACCCGGCGATTGTCTGTTCAAGATGACGTAATAGTTGACGTAATAGGCGCAGTTGACGTCATCGCAGGCACCACCGCCCGAGCGTCTCTCCTGGTGCTCAACCTTTGTTTGTATCCTTCGAGTATTCACTGCAAATCATTTAACTTTATTCCGCAAAATCATTACCAGAAAACGTGTACAAGCCCACCTTCAACGACACAAGTTCATAGTCGAATTTCTGAGCTTAAGTTTATTCTGCCTTTGCTGCACATGCTTGCTTTCATGGAAGAAAAGCTCCATGGGATGAATTCAGAAAGCTTCTGTTCAGTATGTACTGCTTGGCATCGGTGAACCGACTCGTTACTATTGCTACGTAGGAAGATAGAAGGAAAAGACTAAAGAAATACTGCACATAGATGCCTACATAGAGCTGTTCAGAATGGCCACACCACACAAGGTTATGATTTCATGCAGGAAACCCAGCGGTTGGGGACCAGGACTACCAAACTAGCGTTTTCTTCATACACATACACAGAATGGTAGACTACGTGTTCCGTTTTAAACAGGATGATTTCTAAAAACAAAATTTTTAATGACTCTCTTCTTTCAACTATTTTTCCACATTTATAGTGGTAAAGCTCATATGTTTCCATGCAATTTTACAGTTTCTTGCAGTTAGACAAAGCCAAGAGTATTATCTGAAAGAAAATGCAAATGCAAGTTAATATCCAGCTTTATTACCCTTTGTTTTTGTCTACACTAATATATTCTTAAATAACATTTACTTTGGACCAAATGACAGATACTTTGGGCCATTTACAACGCTCGATTTTTCGCGCAAAATTCCTTCCCCACCAAAGTCTACTTCATGTCGCACTTCCTTAGCTTTGTTCGGTAGAAATATTAAGAAGTGCACCATTTTTTTTATCTACGTGCACTCAGACGTATAAATATCAAAATTGTTGAAACGGTTCTTTGAAGCTGAAACTGGGTATTTTTCACTAAACTTTAGAATAATTGCACAGGGCCTGAAACGTTCACTCAAAATAGACTTTGTCAATATTGAGACTGGTGACCAGGGCCGTTCCTATTTGGCTTCATCCCATTTTTCTTCACAAGCCGAAGTTGCAAAACATTGCGAGAAGTTTGTACTACGTCGCGCAAAGCTTGGTGCAGCAAAGCACGAACCCATAGTCGCTTTCTGGGCAACATGTATACTTCTGTATTTCTTTACATATATTATCTTATAGCTGGCGGGCCTTCCTTGTAACTTTTTACCTTCTTTTCTCCTCTGTCACTGCTGCGGTGGTCTAGTTAGTGGCTAAGGCACTGGGCTGCTGACCCGCAGGTCACGGGATCGAATCCGGGCTGCGTCAGCTGCATTTTCGATGGAAGTGAAACTGCTGTAGGCCTGTGTGCCCAGATTTAGGTGCACGTTAAAGAACCCCAGGTGGTCACAATTTCCGGAGCCTTCCACTACTGCGTCTCTCGTAATTATATGGTAGTTTTGGGACATTAAACCCCACATATCAATCTCTCCACTGCATTTCTGTCTGTATGTTTCTACTTCTTTGTTTCTGTCCCACCTTAATCTTACACTATCTGTAATTCTCGATTGCCTCTTCATCTCCTTTTTCTCTTCCTCTATGAAAAATCCCCCTTTCTTTCCTTCTCTGCATTTATGTGATGTTTCCCTCCTCACTCTCTTTTCTTTTCTAGCCCCTTGTTACACGATACTGCACAAGGCTATGCTACATTTTGTCAGCGTGCCTCGGTAACCTTCGAATCGTTTCGAATTGCCCCGCCTCATGAGGAATCTTTTTTTGCCAAGATTTTATTTTTCTTTACATCATTCCTTCTTCGCCCTCCACCCGACATTCACTGTTCTCCTGTGCTTTCCCCTTGCCCTACACCTGACAAATCGGCCCACGTGTTCTGGAAGCGAAGCAGATGAAGAGGACGAAGAGAGTGCATCCCAGTTCATGGTAATTTTGGGTAGAACTGCAGGACATTCTGTTGGATGAAACTTTCAGCATCTGCAGCCCTCTGCAGAAGCAAATGAACTTCAAAAATAGGCGCACACAATATGTCACACAAGCACAGTTCCGAAATGAAAAAAAAAAAGATTACATTAATTTAGGATATCATGAAAGTTCACTTGACTTGCTTCTGCTGATACTGCATTTTGCACACTGTCGGAAACGAAATGTATGTGTATCACACATAAAATATATATGCACTGGCATATTGTATTTTGTACTCCCCGTACACCTACACCCTTCTCTTCCCCTTATGAACTTCAGGTTTACGCTTAGATCTGTATTACAAGTGCTCAAAAAAAAAAACACTAATTTTGCATCATTACTACCTCCTACCCGATTGCTGTCAAAGTTTACATGCAATAGGCTTGGGCCGCATATTCTACCACAGTATTGAATCTGAGGTCAATATGGAGTATCATATCAGCTCAGTATTGCACCAAGACAAGCGTGCTATAGACTCTTTTTAACGTAGAGAAGGATCCCCTCCTTTCTGGGCTGTCGCATGGGAGTACAAAAGCTGATGTCAACTTCAGCCCTGCATTTTTGGGGGGACCAGGCATGTCAACAGTGCAGGGGGGGGGGGGGGGGGGGCACCCAGGGGGAGCCTTCATTGACATGTATAGTACAAGGTGTATAGCATTCACTGTGGCCCATGCTTACTACAGGTGGAAAGCCCACTTTACCTACAAATCGTTTAATGAAGTGATGCAAATCTCTGGGATCAGCCCCACCCCATCTTTGAGAGAGAGATTTCTTACGTGCAGAACAATCCACACCCAGTGACATTATTGGCTCAATTAGTAGACACTTGCTAGATTTGGGCGTTTCCAGTTATTTTACAATTTTACCTCCACTCTTGTTCCTGAACCCACTACAGATTATCTTGAAATCAAATCCTCAGGGAGCTAACCAGGCATGATCAGACCTCTGCAATATGATGAATACCTAAGAGTCTTCTGTAACATTTCACAAATTAATACAAGAGAAAGCCACAACAAGATATTGAACCTTTAGTTCCACAAGTACCACAAGTGTAAAATTGTTTATTCATAACTCTTGCCACACACACATGCACACTGTAAGCATACAACCAAAAGTCAAATGTAGAACATCCCATCTTCTACACCATTTCATGGGTAGAAGCAAATTGAGGATTTGTAATTTCTTAGTAAAAAAAGCAGCAGCATGTCACACGATTTTCTAGAAAAATTAAGAAAAACACACTTGATTTGACCTAGCAATAACATTTCTTGCAAAGAAATTACTCTAGACCAGTCGAATTTTCTTCGTGGCCCTTTCCACTTCATCTGTGTTGGCCCAACTGCACCAAGATGAAAGCTCTTTCAGAAGTGGATTCTTTGAACAGTGCCCGAACAGTGTCAAGAGCAGGGCAACTCCATATCCAGTTGCCCTTTCACCCTGAAATTAAAGAAAACCAAAGCTGTTCAAATAAATCACCCAAATTGTAACACGTATCTGCTGTGGCATGACAATGGCACTTGTTCATTTTAATTCTATATGCAAGGTATCCAAAGCAATGATACTAATTGATGGAAGCGTCAAGACCCAACTTAGTCTATATAAAAAATGTCATGGTGGAAGACTCCAGACCAATTACTGTATTATGAGGCTTTTAAACATGCCCTGAAACGTTACACAGAGGCGTTTCGCACATGTGGCTCTCACTAGCCACATACCCCATGTTCGCCACAAGCTATAGTCACTGCACGACCCCAGTAGGTGGACTTAAGCCGTAGGTCACCGAACTCCCTAATCAGTCGACTCACCCAGACTCGCTCAGACTCGGATCGAGCCATGAGCCTGCGTAAGCCAGGGTGAGTAATATTTTCGCGAGTGCGAGTCCGGTTGAAAAAACTTTGCGTAAGTGTGAGTTCGAGTGAGTTCGACTCAGCAAAGTTCATGAAGATGGGTATGCACAAGGTCTCACATTGATAGAGGAGGGCAGAGGGGATGGAGGGTGCACAATAGCGTAGTTTGCTCCTATACTGTCACACAAGCACAGTTCCGAAATGAAAAAAAAAAATATTACATTCATTTAGGATATCATGAAATTTGTATTCAGGTACATTGTTATATTATTGGGTTAGGTATTTTCTGTGTAAATGGAAAAATTTTTTTGAAGCCTGTGGCATTCAGAAACAGGTCCGTAAAATTTAAATATAAAAAATTAAATGAAACCCATTAACAAATTAAGCAATTCCTATTTCTTAGATCACTGTACCCACAAAATGTGGCAGATAGTCTTGTAACATACGAGTAACCTTTAATTCTAGCACTGTTTCATCCCCCATATAGCATATCACCCTTCCCACAGGATGCTTCTCAAAACGTTTGTGTATGGTATGCAAACACTTTTGAGGAGCGGTATGTACTATCACGCATGACTCATTGACAATTTAGTGAGCCGCCAGTAAAACTTTTTCTAGAAAAGTCAGTTTGCCGAAAACGGTAGGGTTGAAATAAATACAGACGAAGGCCAAATATCGGCTGAATAGCGACCATTGCACACTCTATGCAGTGCCTCTCTGACCAGCGCGTAGGTGCATACTACCAAAATTTCAACTGGTTACTGACAGAGCTCACACAACCAACCATGACTGACGACTGAGAGACAAATCCACGCAAAAGAAGTCCACACTGGCAAGAGCAACCTGCCTATCCCCACTCTAAAATGTTTCACTGCTACTGCAATTCACATCTGCTTTTAAAGAGTCTTTTAAGTACGTAAAATAGCCAACGTTATAGTATCTAGCCATTCTACTCCTGCACCACTTATTGGCTCAACCTTGCAAATCAACTCATGCAGCTTACAAATTGAGTGTCACTCAAAGCGTACATTTAGGGCCATCACTTTGCAATTTGTCTCCCACAACCTCTGTTAACTTCCGACATTACTGTTGCCTTACTCCATACTTTATAATTCACTGTGCTTAGCAATCATAAAATGACATTTCAGTACTTTTATATGTCACAAGGTGCTTCCAATAAATGAACAGAGCATCACTGACAATAACTCTTGTCAAGAAACACATTCCAGAAGGCATTACACCAAAATGCGTCTCAGATTAAAATAAGTTTGTTATATCTGAACATTTGTTATAAAGGTTTATTTCTAAGACTATATCTATTGCAAGACTATTTTTCATTGACTTCATTCTAACTGGTATTTCATTATACGTGGGTTCATTATATTGATGTTTGAGTGTTATCAGAGCTAACAGACAAGAAAGCCAAGGAAAGTACGGAGGATGTTATTTGTAGTAATTATGATGTAAATGTGAAGAAAGCGAAGTGGACGATAAGATAACTTGCCACTGGCAAGGACCAAACCTGTGACCCCCAAACCCGCAACCGCAGATTCAGTCCCAGCCAGGTGACACATTCAATTGAAGAAGCTTTGGAGAAAGCGAGACGATTCACAAGCCTTGTGGTCTTGTTGGTTCAAAGAAGAGCTTACTGAACTCTGGAACGTTTCACCCAATAAAGCAAAACGAAATAACTTATTCAAAAAAGGCAACGTAGCTCTACCCAGAAAAGAACTGCCTCCAAGGCTGAAAGCTTCCCTATTTCGTGCGAAAACGCACAAGGACACCACAGAAGCAAAGATAGGCAGTGGCAAAATTCTTTTTTAAAATACTTCATGACATGGCACCTGTGTGCTCACAGTCAAATGCTATATATTTTTTCTCTCATGGCGATTAAAAACCGTTGAAGACTAGTGGTTGTTCCGTCTCTTTCTCCGACTCCTTGGGCGTGTTTGCTAGTATATGCAAGCATTCGGTCAATATTAATAAGTAAGATCATCAAGACCTGCTGTTTACACTTGCCTGACAGCACTGTGGTGAAGCAGCCCATAATGCTACTGCACCCATTAAAGGCCAACTAACATGATCTGTCAGCGTGGCTAATAATCGCCATTACTGGTGCTCCTCACAAACTGACATGCTCTTGTGGCAGCACTGGCTCACCCCTTTTTGTTCTTTTCTCAGTGCCATCAATACTTTTTCATCTTGCCAGACATGTTTTTGCTCGATGGTAATGACAACGCACATGAAATTTTGATGGGTTCAACAGCAATAATGAAAGGTGAAAGAATGAAAGATCGACCACTACAAAATCATGACCTCAATGAAAGATTTTCTGGCTGCTAAAAGCATAAAAAAAGAGAAACAGCCCTCTTTGCTGCGCATGAAAAGCAACTTGCACAGTAATGCAACACACCAGACTGTGTACGTTGATGTCAATATGATCTTACGCCCGGCAAACAGTTCGATTCCTCACAACACACGTCACCCCCCCCCCCCAAAGTAAAGTGTCCTATGAGCAATAAGATTCGATGTAAAAATGGAATCAATCCTCTAAAAAAATCATTTTCAGAATACTTACACAGTGAACTGGGTAAGCCATGTCAACATGCATCCACACACCAGGAAATTCAAAGCCCAGCTGAGAACAAATGAACAAACCAGCACAAGATGGCTGGGCATTGTTGCGGTCCTGTGAGAAAAAAAGAGCATTTTATGAAGCTGCAAGAGCCTTCAGCATTATGTAACAAGTCTCGCCAGATAGCTGTAGGTGACTGCTATAAAAAGTCAAACTTGGCTATACGAAACTTGGGTGAGTTCAAGTGTCTTTTTTTTTAACTATTTTTGGACACAAAAATACCGCAACGTCACCACATAAAATTTATGGAAGCATGGAGAAAAAATAGCAAAACACTTTTCAATTTGTACACCGAACATTGGGTAGCATGCTATGGTCCAAGAGGGTTTTCTCTCAGAAAAAGTTAGCTTTTGCTAATGTGACGGGATTTTCATGCAAGCATTCAGGAGACCTGTTGGTGCGATTCAAAGGGTGCCGTGCATAGAAGTAGCAACGCTTGCTATCACGCGCCTAATCCCATAGTTCCCCCATCATCGTGCCCAAAGGTCCATAATTAACTGTCACCATTCACTTCACGAAAAAACGCAAGTCAACTGGACACTATTTTATGCGCCTATATGTGCCTGCGGTAATAGGTCGGCAAAAAAAAAAAGAAAATCACTCGGACTCATTTAAAAAATATATTTTCCGCTTCGGACTCGCTGGGACTCACATTCACGAAAATGTTCTTCAACCGGGCTCACTTCGAGTCAAATTCCCCAAAACATTACTCACCCGGAATCCCTCATACAGACTCACTGCTAAATCTGAGTTTGAGTGAGTTCGAGCGAGTCAATTCACGAGTGAGATTGTCGAGCTATATCTGCAGTGCACATATTTAGAACGTAAAAAAAAAAAAACAAAAGATCTGATGAGCTGTTCCCATTGATGTCATATCTTCAACTGGACAACGTGCTCCTGCATATAAATACAATGTACCACCACAAATCAAGGAAAAATACAAATTAAAACAAAAATGATTCCTGCATATTGCCGTGAGGCTGCCTTCTTTACATTACGGTAAAGTATTGCCGCAAAGCCAGCTTGCACACAAAACACGGAAATTTTATCAAATTATGCGATACGTAAAACTAATTCCCGCTTGCTTTTTTTTTTTTCCAGAGTTCGATATATGCGGGTTTGACTGCAAGTGTGATGAAGAACACAAATTAGTTGATGGATACAGAGGAAGCTCAAGTGGCTCTGAAATTCAAATATCTGCAGTCCTCTCAAAAGCTGTCATTGTAAAAATTTTAAAATTATTTTTTTAGTTATGCATGTCACATTGTGGTGAGCATAAGAGAGGTACATATCAGTACTGAAATCGACCATAATGAAAGTGAAGCAGTTTTGAAAACTGTTTTGGTGGCGAAATGCCGTAAGAGTTGCCCAATGTGTGTTGATAGTGGTTGATTTAATGAACAGTGACTGTTAACCTGCCCGCGTCCTTTGTATTTTCTGTGCACTGCAGTTTAATCTTGCGAACAGCTTCAAGGTGCCAAATTAAACTAACAATTCTTGTAAGCTTGCTGACAAAATGGTGTACTCAAGATCATTTTCTGAGCCATATCATGTTAAATTAATATAAAGTGAACATTGACTATTGAACTATAGCTACGAAACTGAATGGGGATGTTCAGAAAATAAAATATTTTTATGCATACAATTATGAGGGCAAATCAGTGCAACCGACAAAAGAAGACGGAAAGGACACAGAACACTTAACTTCCAACAGACTACTTGTTTGGAAAACCATCGCTTTTATACAGTTACACATGGTCACAACAGCCCTGCCAAAAACATGGCATTACAGGAATCCATCACGTGGACAAACCTAAATACATCTTTTCTTTATCAGTGAGACATCTTTTCTTCACCTCTCACCATTAAATAAAAGATGCATTTAGGTTTGTCCACATGATCAATTCCTGTACTGTCATCATGTTCCACCCATACCTGTTGTAAAACAATGCATAATCGTATAAAAAAGAAGACTTCAAAAGAATAAGTTGCTGGAAGTTCGGCGCTGTGTGTCCTCTTTGTCCCCTCCTTTCAGTTGCACTGATTCGCACTCCTAATCCCCTCGTAACAACACGACCAAGCTTAGTCATGCGGTTCGTATTCATGAATAAAAGAAGCAAGCCACCAACTCATTCATAAAAATACGACAAGTGTTGGCACACATGCCAGGAAAGAGTGCAAATTATGGTATATATTTAGGAGGTTAAACATACATACTAAAGCATAAATGTTCCTATTCCAGTCATTCACCACATATTGTTTTATCTTTGCAAACTGAGACCCACAAGCAAGCAAGATAAGCCCACTTTAAGCAAACATTACAAGTACAAATGATTGGTACCAATAAATTTAATATTGGATTTCTGTATTTGATTTCCGTGGCAGCAGTTAGGAGGATATCCCCACTTTTTGTGCCTGTCACAACAGCATGCAACCAAATCCACAGTGCATACAGATGGATTACAACTAAGTGCACCAGCGTCTACAGTAATGACACTTAAATGAGTGCTTCAGCAAAACTCTACTGCCATTATTCAAGTGGTGTGAGGCATCTTGCAAACGCTTGAAATTCCTGGTGACATGGCTATTGACTGCTGCAAAATAAATGTCAATGAGATGAAAAAAGACCTTCTGGCCTTGTATCATCTTGTGATTATGCAAGCCTCCTAAGGAGGTGCCCTGTCTCCAACAGATGCTGTAAATATTCTTACGTGAATGTGAAGTCAATTGCATTGTAGACTATTTACAAAATGCATTTACAACAGCCGTCGCATAGCTAACCGCTTCAGCTCAGACAGCAGGCAGAGAAAGATCATTCTCTTCATCGGGCGTGCATGCACATGACTCCGGAGGCTGGCATTATGCATGCAGCATAATCCCCTCTAGCAGATGCACAGTCTTGGCACATGCAAACATCAACAATATTATTTCCTATGCCATATTAGCTGGCTGCCCTGTCAGCTTTTTATACAGCTGCATAGTATGCTGGCTCCTGGCAACAAACATCAGAACACATTGAATGCCTTCACACACCTCGGAAGCTTTAGCATAAAAACAGTCATTTCAGTGAAGAAGTACTTTCAACACAACCTTTGTACTAGACGTAGAAGCCTTAAAAAACAGGTTGCTTTCAAAAAGAAAGAATGTGGATGTGAGTAGGCAGCTCATGACTGCTACTTTTCATGCATCCGCTAAATGCAGAATGAAAAAGAAAACCTTGGCTGCAGAGTTAGGCTAACCACATGAACAGTATAGCACAAGGCAAACACAAGTAAAGTGGTCAACTACTCCTAAAGTAAAGCCTAGTCAAGTAATTAGGAGAATGCTAGCTTTTTGCACTGTAAAGATAGCCAAAGTTCCTTATTATCTACCGTATTGACTCGCATAAGCCTCGCATTTTTTTTTTGGTGGCATACCGATGCAAAGTTGGGGGGTGTGAGAATTAGGTGGGGAAAACTTTCCACGAAAACGTACAGAGCGAAAAAGAAAAAGAAGTGGCTGCAACTCACACCATTCTCATTCTCACACCAGCAACTAACAGCAAGCTTTGAGAAGTACTACTTAAAACTTACCTCAAAAATAAAAGCAGAGGTTCAACACAAGGCAAGATTTATTTGAGACACAAAAAGTGCAAGCAAATAGTTGAGAATTAGAATACCATCCGCAAAGCTTGAGGGCGTTGCGGGCGTAGCGGTAGCGTTCGTCACTCAACAGGAGCCCTCAAAAGGTAAGAGTAGGATGTTAGTATTGGGCTGATAGCTATTTAACAGAATCATCCGCAGTTTCCTTCTGAAGAAATAAAGTTTACGATCAATACTAGTCTTATCCACACGGCAGGCCTAACACGTCTTGGTGGCTTGCAGCTGCCGTCACCAGTAGCGAACACAAAACTCTTCGACTCCGAAGGGCCTACCGGCGGCCCTGTTGCCGTTGTTTAGTACATGATCAATCCCTTTCAACTTGAAAGCAGTCGTGTAGCTTCAGTATCGCCCCATAACGTGACAAGATTACCGACACAACATACAAAACATGCCGCAACGCGCACTTGCCGCTTTGGCTTGGCTTGGATTGAATTGAATCCCCGTGTAATGATAGTACGCTTGATGCTTAAAGGGCCACTCACCGGGTTTGATAATTTTCAGTTGAGAAGCACAATGCGTAGACGAGGCGTTCATGATCACGTCTGCCAAAATTTGCAACGCTACGCGCCACAGAAATTAGTCAAATTTAAAGATGAATGCTGCTCCCCCTCCCCTCTGCCGGCACGCGCTCAGAGAATTAGGGCATGACGTGCGCGTATGAATGGCTCTACGTACACGGCAATGCAGTGACGTACGTTGGTCCTCTAAGTAGACTCTGCTCTGACATTGCAAACAGTAGCACGTGACATGGCAAAAATTATTTAACACGGTATGAATAGTTTATGTAATTTGTTGCTTGAAGAGATTAATAAAACTATAGAAAAATAATGAGACGCAATAAGGGAATGTGAGCGTCTTTTTTCCATTTTTCTCCTGTGAATTGCAACGAGATGCGGGGCTGATGTGTCGGCGTTTCGCATGCGTTCGTGTCCCCACGGTCAGCGCATCAAGCAGACGACCGCTGTGGAATGCTCCTACGCGTTCGGCCAGTCATTGTGCTCATCTACTCTACCGTGTCTAAGCCAGCGTTTCCAAATCATCCCGCAGAAAGAGGCAGAAGACCACAAAATAACGCTGGTCACCAAAGCAGCGCTGCTCGCGTGCTTGAGGGTTGGACTTGTTTGGGCACGTCATGCGCACGTCACCTCTTGGTCGCATGCCGGAAAGGGTGGGGAAGAGATTTGGCTTGCGAAGGCTACGCGGAGAAGCGGCAAGGGTTTAAAGCTCTCCTCCTCTCATCCTTGTTCCGCGCCGCTTCAAAAAACCGGTTTTCTTCGCTCGTGATGAACCGATTCAAAAAACTTTTGTGGCAAAATGTTCCTCATCGAACACTCAACAACTTCCACTGTCTAACTAAAATTCGGTAAGGAGCTTGGTGAGAGATGGCGCACGCTATCATCGTCAGCGGCTGGGACGAGCAGACGACATCATTGCGGCAACTTTCAGGAGCGCGATAATTACTCGAGGAAAAAAAATTGTATTTTTGTTGGGCGATGTGGGGGGTGCGAGAATTATACGAGTGCGAGGATTATGCGAGTAAATATGGTATATTCTTACACTCTTATGTTGTGTTAGACACCACAGTGATGTTTTTCATGTTTTCTACATCAAGGAACTGGCAAGGAATGCATCAACCCAGGCAACATAAAGTGATGCTTCACAACCAACTTAAAACATTACACAGAGTGTAGAGTGCAACAGCGTTAATGAAAACAACACTCTTACAACTGCATTAAAGTGACTGTTTTAGTGACATAATTAAAAACTGTTTTAAAGCCATTCAGCAAACATGCTACTAATATGTTTCAGAGAAAGTAAGGAAGTAAACAGCAATTTGTAACAATGAATGGTTTCTCCAAGAGCTCCTCACTCTATACAATACTGTCATTGCCAAGTTTAATGACATGTTTCAACGTAGCCAAAGTGAAGGAAAAATGCACTCCTGCTACATAAGAAACACAGCCTTAAAGGTAGCACGGTTAGTGGTTGCTCAGAGAGACCTTTTTAGCCCAAAAAAAAGCACAGCTAGAAAATAAGTATGTAGTACTCACTGCCACCGAGTTCTTCATGTCAGCAAGTGTACTGGCAAATTCAACAAAGTGAAGCTCAGGTGCAAAAGGCAAGGCATGAATGAGGTCCCCAGAAAGGATCCCCGATCGAATGACCAACTCCTCCCAGTCAGCAGAGTTGCTAACCAGGGCAGCGTGGTACTTTCCAGTGGCAACACCTTGAGCCCCAGTGAGAGTTGCCATGTCCAGGATTATGTTAGCCTTGAGCTCTTTGTGAGCATATGCCACCTGACATCAAATGTACAACAAAAAGGAGCAATCACGAAAAATTCGTCAGCAACCAGTATAGAGCAGACAAAGGCCAAGAAAGCGAGCAAAGACAAGTGCGTATTTTTTCTGCTTTGCCCTAATAATAATTGTTGGGGTTTCCAAAACCATCATTTGAGTATGAGAGACGCCGTAGTGGAGGGGTTCGGAAATTTCGTCCACGTGGGGTTCTTTAACGTGCACCTAAATCTAAGCACATGGGCCTCAAGCGTCTTCGCCTCCATTGAAAATGCGGTCGCCGTGGCCGGGATTCGATGCCGCGACCCGCGGGTCAGCAGCCAAGTACCTCAGCCACTAGGCTACCTTGGCGGGTCCTGTCCGCTCTGCCCTGCTTGTCGAGGATGAATTATGAACTAGCCAAATCTGAAATGAAAGGTTCATTTTTTCTCACTTTCAGTACTATATATATATATATATATATATATATATATATATATATATATATATATATATATAGAGAGAGAGAGAGAGAGAGAGAGAGAGAGAGAGAGAAAGAGAGAGAGCCTGATGACCCAGTCGAAACGGAGGGCTCTCAGGCCTATATCAACCGTGCAACCATATCTGCATTGTCTCAAGAGAAAACGCCATAATTTACATATGGTATTCATCATCATCATCATCAGCCCGACTGCGTTCCCTGCGGGACAAAGGCTTCTCCCATGTTCCGCCAGTTAACTCGGTCCTGTGCTTGCTGCTGCCAATTATACCCACAAACTTCTTAATCTCATATGCCCACCTAACCTTCTGTCTCCCCCTCACCCTCTTGCCTTCTCTGGGAATCCAGTTAGTCACCCTTAATGACCAGCGATTGTCCTGTCTACGCGCTACATGCCCGGCCCATGTCCATTTCTTCTTCTTAACGTCAACTATTATATTCTTAACCCCAATTTCTTCCCTAATCCAGTCTGCTCTCTTCTTGTCTGTTACGGTTACACCTACCATTTTTCTTTCCATTGCTCCCTGCGTCGTCCTCTATTTAAGCTGAAGCGTCTTTGTAAGTCTCCATGTTTCTGCTCCGTAGCTAAGTACCGGCAAGATACAGCTGTTATGCACCTTCCTCTTGAGGGATAGTGGCAATCTACCTGTCATACTTCCTTTTGAGGGATAGTGGCAATCTATCTGTCATAATTTGAGAGTGCTTGCCAAATGTGCTCCACCCCATTCTTATTCTTCTAGTTACTTCTATCTCATGGTTTGGCTCCGCGGTTATTATCTGCCTTAAATAGACATGGTCTTTTACAACTTCAAGTGGACTATTACATATCTCAAAGCACTGCTCTCTTCCGAGGTTATTGTACATTACTTTCATTTTTCTGCAGATTAATTTTAAGACCCACCTTTCTGCTCTCCTTGTCTAACTCCGTAATCATGAGTTGCGATTCGTCCCCCCCGAGTTACTCAGCAATGCAATGTCATCGGCGAAGCGCAGGTTACTAAGGTACTCTCTATTAACTCTTATCCCTAACTGTTCCCATTCTAGGCCTCTAAAAACCTCTTGTAAGCACGTGGTAAATAGCAGGGGGGAGATTGTATCGCCCTGCCTTACACCCTTCTTGATTGGTATTCTGTTGCTTTCTTTATGAAGCACTATGGTAGCAGTTGATCCCCTGTAGATTGTTTCAAAGATGTTTATATATGCTTCATCGACGCCCTGATTCCGCAGTGTCTGCATGATGGCTGATATTTCTACTGAATCAAACGCCTTCTCATAATCTATGAAGGCTATGTATAGTGGTTGGTTATATTCTGAGCATTTCTCTATTACCTGATTGATAGTATGAATGTGGCCAATTGTTGAGTAGCCTGTTCGAAATCCTCCTTGTTCCTTTGGTTGATTGAATTCTAATGTTTTCTTAACTCTGTTAGCAATTACTTCTGTAAATAGCTTGTATACTACGGAGAGCAAGCTGATCGGCCTGTAATTCTTCAAGTCCTTGTCATCTCCTTTCTTATGTTTTAAGATGTTAGCATTCTTCCAAAGACTCTGGTACTCTTTTTGTGAGGAGACACCTCGTAAACAGGGTGGTTAGTTTTTCTAACACAATCTGTCCTCCATCTTTCAGCAGATCTGATGTTACCTGATCCTCACCAGCAGCTTTGCCTCTTTGCATGCTCTCCAAGGCTTTTCTGACTTCTTCGATCATTACTGGTGGGGTGCCATCTCGGTTACTGCTAGTTCTTATATTATTAAGGTCGCAGTTGTCCCGGCTACTGTACAGATCTCTGTAAAACTTCTCTGCTATTTTAACTATCCTATCCATATTGGTAGTTATTTTGCCTTCTTTGTCCCTTAGTGCATACATCCGATTTTTCCCTATCCCAAGTTTCCTCTTCACTGCTTTGACGCTTCCTCCGTTTTTCAGAGAGTGTTCGATTCTCTCCATGTTATACCTTCTTACATCGGATACCTTACGCTTATTAATCAACTTCGAAAGCTCTAACAGTTCTATTTTGTCTGTTGTACTTGAGACTTTCATGCTCTGACGCTTCTTAATGAGATTCTTTGTTTTCTGGGAAGGCTTGCAGTGTCCTGTCTAACTACCCTGCCTCCAACTTCCACTGCACACTCCGTAATGATAGTCGTCAGATTATCATTCATTGTATCTACGCTAAGGTTGGTTTCTTCAATAAGAGCAGAGTACCTGTTCTGAAGCAAAACTCTGAATTCCTGTACTTTCCCTCTCAGTACTAGCTCATTGATTGGCTTCTTGCATATCAGTTTCTGTCATTCCTTCTTCAAGTCTAGGCGAATTCGAGACCGTACTATTTTATGGTCACTGCATCGTACCTTGCCAACCACTTCCACATCCTGCACGATGCTTGGGTGTGCACTCATTATAAAGTCTATTTCATTCTTATTTTCGCCATCAGGGCTCCTCCATGTCCACTTACGGTTTCCTCGTTTTCGGTAGAAGGTATTCAAAATTTGTAAATTACTGCGTTCTGCAAACTCTACTAGCAACTCTCCTCTGGCATTTCTAGTACCGATGCCATAATCTCCGACTGCCTGGTCTCCAGCCTGCTTTTTTCCTACATTTGCATTAAAGTCTCCCATCAGTATAGTATACTGTGTTTTTACCTTACTCATTACCGATTTCACGTCTTCATAGAAGCTTTCAACTGAAGCGTCATCATGGATGGATGTAGGCGCGTAAGCCTGTATCATCTTCATCTTGTATCTCTTATTGAGTTTAATTACAATACCTACCACGCTTTCATTAATGCTATAGTATAGTGGTTGGCGAGGTACGATGCAGTGACCATAGAATGGTACGATCTCAATGGAGGAGCCCTAATGGCGAAAATAAGAACGAAATAGACTTCATAATGAGTGCACACCAAGGCATCGTGCAGGATGTGGAAGTGGTGTCAACTGATTGCAAACAAAAATTTAATGGTCCCAATAAGACAACTGTTGGCCCCAGGTCAGCAGTTATTCCAGTGTGTGGATGATGGTAAGATATTAGTCCCCGTGCAAAACCAACCAGAACTTTTGTAACTTCAGTAAGAATTCTAAAATGCCACTCATTTTTCTAAGGCTTTGAAGACTGCAGGCAACACAGTCAAACACACAACGATACAAGGCATAACTATCTATAAGTTACAACGACCATATTGCGGTGCACTTGCGATTTTCCTATGCAACCCTATGAAAATGAGTCCACATATAGCAAACATTTTTCAGGGCCTACTAATTTTACAATGAACACTTTCGACACAGTCGTGGCAAAAATATGGCACATGCGAAGCAAAAAGAAAAAAACAAACAAACAATACAAAGCGTGTGATATGTGTGTGCCCTGCCACAGTTGCAATCATAGACCTCGTCGAGGACCGCATGCTGATTTCAGACGCTGTGAGCAAGGTCGCTCACTTTCTAGACACTTCTTTACCGGCAGAAGGGAAGTGAGGACACAGCAAGAAATAGGAGGCAGCATGAAGACTACAGTCGGCTTTCGCACGGCGAACTTTTCCGATGCGGGCCTCGGCATCTACGACCGCCGCCGACAATTAAACAACGTTTTCGAACGGAGAAAGCCACAAATTTGAGAAGCGGTAACGTTTTATCGAATAAAAGTACACTGCAACGCTCAGCCCACCTACACCAGGTTTTTCGCATTTCGGTAACAGGGAAGACAGGTCGATTAGTGATAACGACATCCGTGCGGTAGCAGCGGTGCCTTAATGGATAAACATCGAAAAACAGGGATGGCGAGGTGGCCAATAGCGATGAGAAGGCCATTTTGACTCATTGCCGGTAACCTTATCACAGTCATCTGCAGATATCTGCTCGGTTAAGTGACGGCAGTACAAGCGCGTCATGGCGCCGTTCGCAAATTCGCTGGCGCTGCGTCGTGCGAGACGCTTGTGTGCGTTGCTTATTAAATTTGTCTTCGTTCTGTTGGTCGAAAGGGCTACTCGCCGCACCCGAGCATGATCCCTAGTGAAGCATGCATGAAGAACGCAGAAACGCACGAATGCATTGGACTGAAAACAAACCCGGCATGCGACGACGAGAGCCAAGTGAGCGACACGCTGCACCCAACTAGCTAGTAATGATTCGTTCAACAGGATGGTACCAAGCTTCAGTTGAACGGGATCAGTTCCTTGTGAACGTGGTTGAATTCACTCGTGAGCAAACGGGTGTTTTTTAAAACGCAAAAAAGCTCGACTTGTCAGCATAGGCCTTTGAATTTTTGATTAAAAAAAAATGGAGTGACTACTAAATGAACCTTTTTATGGGCGAGTTCATATACAACGAAATACTGAAATAACTACCACTTATCGCAACACTTATGAGTTCGTTGAAAATGGGTTTGACTGCACTGCATAATAATTATGATAGACCTATGAAATGAGTTTCATCAGTTATGATGTTAAACATTTAACATTTATTTCAAGAAGCCACGTGAGTAGCCTACTAATCAGTGAAAAAGTACTGTTCAAAATGGCTATCTTATTATGAACTTAATTTTTAGAGATTTTGGTACCAATAGTTCTTAGTGAAATTTCATTGGAAACACTGAAAACACGATGATGGTTGATCCAGTTGCGATACACTTGTCATTGGCTAATCATTCAGAAGCTGGCAGAGGTCTAAGCGCATTCTCGTATGTCACACATGCATATATCAGCGGCTTAGTCATACAAAAAGAAACTAACATTCTAGATCACTTTTTTCCACTTAGATGGTCTACATTTTCAAGTAACTAGACTCTTACACCTATTACTGCTACAACTACTTTTTATACCACTTAGGAAATGTGGTGGAAGGGGGGACTTTCTTATGCATAGTTCATAAAGATGCAGCATCTTTAACTCTTGAAGGTGGTGTGCGAGGAGAAAATGATAGCAGCAATCCTTTGCATTGTCCATAAACAGCCCAAATGGAATCTGTATAGTGTTGGATTATCTAGGTAAAATTCTCTTGTATAGGTGCAGTGTTATGAACTAGTAATTATTTGCTGCAGTATAACTCGGTTCTGGTTGAGTAATACCACAGCTGCAGAGCGCGTTCTTGCATGCAAAAGCAGAGCTACAACACCTCAACAAGCTTGCTCCCATTACAAAGCAGTGTGCCCTGCCTGCAACTGAGGCATGTTGAAAACTTACTCTAGTTTGCAGATGATGCCAAATACTGAGTAATTATGTTACAGCAGGCTAAACACAACTGGAGCCACTAGGCCACAAACTGAAACCATTTGATGTTGCTGTCGGTTTCAACCAATTCCTGCCAGAGCTTAAAATATGCTGCATAAAATACTCATGCCAATCAAGACCTAGAAGCAACTGCAGTGCAAAATTTTAACTTGGGTTAAAACTATTCAAAAGACATAGGGCTCCAGCACTGAATATATTTATTACTGACAACAGAACACAGTAAAAAGGCCATGTTTTATGCATGAATTTAGATTGCCATTTAAAAAAAAGATAACTAAAAAGTACAAGAAAATCCTTCTAGTAGAGCACACTGAAGACATACCCCATCACCAACAACAAGACGTCCTTCAGCATCAGTGTTATTGATCTCAACAGTTCTGAAAGCAGTCAGAAAAAAGAACACTTATTTGCACATGTCCAACCAAAACAGATGTCACGAACATCACTTTCAAGCACTCAAGCTCTTCAACATTGTACTCACTTGCCAGAGTACATTGTAATTATATCATCAGGCCTTGTTGCATTTGGACCAACAGCATTTTCAGCCAGGCAGAAGACAGCATGAAGATTATCACTGAACCCCTGCACAAAAAGTCACATTATGAAGAAACGCCTTTTAAAATGCTGAGGAAGCTATAAAGAAAAATATACCCACCCCATTAGAAGTGGGGCAACATGCATAAAAAGCAAGCCAATTACTCAGGCTCGTGTCTGCTGGGGCGGCGGTTCGGCGGCTAAATCCGATACCACATCAGCCAGGACGGGTGTCACGAGAGCAATATGATAATTGATTTACCTTTTTTTCCACTGTGAAGCCTCACTTATTCAGCCCCTATCTCCAATATACACCAACAATGAATCTCAGTAGACCTAGGATTTATGTTCACCTACCAAGAAAGAAATAACTGGTGGTCATTTTATCCAATTATTTGTAATTAGGGGCTAGTACTAAACGTCAGCTGTTTTAATTAAATGTGATTGTGTGAGTGCTGTTGGTAGAAATGCAGTAGAAGTCTTGCATTAAAAAAATATGGTGATGAACTCCGGCAGTTCGAGCCAGTCTGGCGAAGAGAACACTTGATGGTCGCAAACAACTAGGTGAGTCTTATACCTCGTATATCGAGAAAGTTCTCTCTCTCTGTCGACGCGTCAACGCCTTCATGACCGAGACAGACAAAGTGTGCCATCTGCTCAAAGGCATGGAACCTGTTGCCTTCAATGCTTTGGTGATAAAGGACCCAAGTACCATTGCTGACATTGTAGCTATGTGCCAGCACCTGGACGAGCTCGAATCCGCACGGCTGCAGCTGGACAGCACTCCTGCAACCATCCCTGACAACCCTACTGTCGACCCCTCGTTACGAGCCATGATCCGCACCATGATACGAGAGGAACTGCAGCCGCTCGGTTTTCCAGTATGTCAGTTTCCTTCTGACACCCCCAGTACAAATTTACGAGACGTCGCCAAGGAGGAATTGGCGGCTATGACGGGTAATGCCTACAGAGACCCTCACGTCTCCACCGACTTACGCGCAAGTCGCCACAGTTACTCCAGCCTTCGTTCCACCAATACCGCCGCCAACGACGCCAGCCCATCTGGCGTCTCCGGCGTCTAGCACGCAAAACCAGCCTTACTATGCACGACCGGCACCAGCACACCTGAATTCCATAGTACCCAGCCCAAACAACCAGCCCTATTATCAATCATGGTGCCCGACGAGACCTACATGCTACTATTGCGGATATCGTGGACACATCGCACGTGCCTGTCGCAAGCATCAGCGAGACGAGCGTCATGGGTTTGACACGAACGGGATGACTATGCCATAGGAACCACTTTCCAGCACTGTCCTTGCGTTACTACGCTTCACGGTCGCTCTTCCTCGCCATCAGTAACTCCTGAAATGGCTCCGCACTACTGTGGTGCCAGGCATCGCTCGCCATCCCCTCTCCGTCGCTCTACGTCGCCACTTCGACCAGCCTCTCAGTTTGCCGACCTTCGCCCGGAAAACTAAATTACGCGGCTTCTAGGGAAAAAGCTGCATTTAGCGAAGTAGAAAAATTCCTCCAGAACATCCTCATAATATGATATCTGTTTCAGTGGAAGGCATAGAAGTGGAAACATTAATAGACACTGGTGCTAGTTTCTCAGTCAGTCACAGAGATTTGTGTGTGCGTCTCCGCAAAGTTACTACACCCAACGATGGACCTACGTTGCTCGCTAAGACGTTATCCGACCTTCCGCCATGTGCACTGTTCGTGTCTCCATTGATGGACTTCTCCATTATATGCAATTTGCAGTGCTTAGTTCGTGCACTCAACAGCTAATATTGGGATGGCGCTTTCTTTCAACGGCCTCCGCGTCTATCTCCTGCTGGCACGAGTCCTACACATGAGCAATACCGCCTATTCAGTTCACGCAGATGATGCACCCCTTCGTTTTTATGCTGCAGAAGACACTGAGCTATCTCCGCACAGTCAGCGAATTGTTACACTTCTGTCTGATGTCATTGACTACGGCAATGTGCTCGTACGACCCTCCGTACGCTGTGTCACCAGAGGAATAGCCTTAACATCAGGTCTGATACGTTTCGAGGATAGCTTCGCATTCCTTTGCGCAATGAACTCGACGGCCGAAAAAATTCTGGTTCCGAAGGGCTTAACGTAAACTTGCGTCCCTACACCGGAGCCTTTTCTGTGGTAACTTTTCAAGACGCTTCTCCTGAAGCTCTCCCTGTTGCACGTTCCCCATCCACCTCCACCTTCAAAACTACCATCAGCTCTGACCTGACCCCTTCGCAGACTCAACAACTGTTTGCCTTGCTGATTAAGCATGAAGCTTTGTTTGACATCAATTCACCCATATTGGCACAGACATGCGTCACCACGCATCCCATTGAGACTGAGGGTACGTCAATCGTTTGTCATCAGTCATATCGCGTATCAGTAGCTGAGCGGAAGGTTATTGAATTAAATGCAGGGTTTAGCGTCCCAAAACCACCATATGATTATGAGAGACGCCGTAGTGGAGGGCTCCGGAAATTTCAACCTTTTGGGGTTCTTTATCGTGCACCCAAATCTGAGCACACTGGCCTACACCATTTCCGCCTCCATCGGAAATGCAGCCACCGCAGCCGGGATTTGAACCCGCGACCTGCGGGTCAGCAGCTGAGTACCTTAGCCACTGGACCACCGCGGCGGGGGAGCGGAAGGTTATTGAAGAAAACGTTGACGACATATTGAGACGAAACATAATACGCCCCTCAGCTAGCCCTTGGTCATCATCTGTCGTCTTAGTTCGAAAAAAAGATGGTTTTGTGCGCTTCTGCGTAGATTACCGGACGCTAAACAAGATCACGCGCAAGGATGTCTACCCTATGCCACATATAGATGACGCCTTGGATTCCCTACAGGGAGCTCAATACTTCTCGAGTCTTGATCTACGTTTGGGATACTGGCAGATACTGATACATGAGCACGATAAAGAAAAGACTGCATTTTCGACACCAGACGGACTTTACAAGTTCAATGTAATGCCCTTCGGCCTCTGCAACGCACCCGCGACATTCGAACGCATGATTGACACCATTTTGCGTGGCCTGAAGTGCAAAACTTGCCTGTGCTATTTGGACGACATCATTGTTTTCTCATCAGCCTTCTCTCAACACTTACACTATTTAGACGAAGTCCTCATGTGCCTTGGTACGGCTGGCCTTCAGCTGAACAAGAAAAAGTGCCGTGTTGCCAGCAAGACAATTAAGGTCTTAGGCCACATTGTCAGTAAGAATGGCATTCGTCCCGATCCCGATAAAATATCGGCCGTACTTCATTTTCCTCGTCCTGAAAGGACCAAGGACTTAGGCAGTTTTCTTGGCATGGCTTCATACTTCCGTCGATTTATACGAGAGTTTGCCTCGATAGCAGAACTTTTGCACAAATTACTCTGTTCCGGTGTTCGCTTTGAGTGGTCTCCTGCCTGCAAATCAGTGTTTAGCCATCTGAAAAACGCCCTCACATCTGAACCAGTACTTCACCATTTCGATGAAACAGCACCCACACTCCTGCATACTGACGCTAGCGGTCACGGAATCACAGATATTCTACTGCAGTGTGATGAATCATCACGTGAAAGGATCGCTGCGTATGCAAGCCGCGTTCTCACTAACACCGAGATGAATTACAGCATTACTGAATATGAGTGTTTAGCTGTCGTGTGGTCACTGCAGAAATTTCGACCTTATCTACACGGTCGTCATTTTACCATAGTTACAGACCATCATGCCCTATGTTGGCTTTCCACACTCAAGAATTTGTCAGGACGGCTTGGTCGATGGATTATACGTCTTCAATAATACGACTTCACTATTACCTACAAGTTCGGTAAAAAGCACCAGGACGCAGATGCACTTTTTCGCTGCCCACTTCCTACGGCGCCGTCCACTGCTTCCGCTACTAACTTCAGCGATGAACGCTTAGATAGTCCTTCCACATTTGTTTCGTCCGTAGCCATCATTGACGAGATCCCACCTGACGACCACGGCTCCATCATAACGCATCAACTCGCTGACACTTACTGTAGACGCATCATAGATCGCCTTCAGGGGAAATCTCGACCGCCTAATGCCCACCTTCGGCGACAGCTCAGGCATTTCAAGCTCGATAACCTCGTTCTTTACCATCACATCTATCACCCGGATGGTCAACGCTGGGTGCCCGCTCTTCCTCCTTCTCTTCGAGCCAATATTCTTAAGGCCGGTCATGACGACTTGACTGCTGGTTACTTTGGTTTCCAAAAAACATACAATCGCATTAAAGGTCATTTCTACTGGCCAGGGATGTCCGCCAGCGTAGCAAAGTACGTCGCCTCTAGCAACCTTTGTCAGCGCCGAAAGCTTCCGACATCACCTCAATGCGAAGAGCTGCAACCACTTCCATGTCAGTCTGCACCATTTCAAGTCGTCCGCATCGATCTATATGGTCCCCTTCACATGACTCCGATGTGGTGGCCATCGATGAATAGTGACAGCTGTCGACCACTTGCCATGTTATGCTTAAACGTCCTGCGTGAATTTGGCCTCTGCTTTTGACAAGGCTACATTTATGCTTGAATCCTTGATCTTGCGTCATGGTGCTTCTCGTGTCATCCTGATTGACCGTGGAAAAGCTTTCCTTTCGCAAATTGTGGCAAATTGTGGAAGAATTGCTAAAAGCCTCCGGCACCAGCCACAAGACAACCTCCAGCTATCTCCCCCAAACCAACGGGCTCACTGAGCGCTTTCATCGCACTCTGTCCGACATGATAGCTATGTACATTGAGTCATACGACACCAACTATGATGCGATTTTGCCGTTCGTAACGTTCGCTTATAATACCGCCGTACAACGCACAACTGGCTACTCGCCATTCTACCTTGTCTATGGCTGATCGCCACCTTCCTTTCTGGACGTCTTGTTCTTGACAGCCCCGGTTACACCATCTGCATACTCCTGTGAACAATGTGTCCCACCTCCATCACTGTTGCCAGCTCGCCAGACTCAATACTGAGGAGAGACAACAAGCCCGTAAAAATCTGCATGACGCATCTCACACCACTGTGACCTTCCACCCCGGCGACGAGGTACTACTCCGGACACCAGTTCACACTCCTAGATTGTGCGACAAATTTCAGTTTCGGTTCCTCGGCCCATACACAGTCTTAGAGCAGACCTCGCGCATTAATTATCGCGTTGAACCTGTGATTGCTCCAAGTGATCGACGCTGTCGTGGTACCGAGATAGTGCATGTCTCGCGTATGAAGCCTTTCGCAAGGCGTTCTCCGCATCTATAAGTTGCGGCCAGGATGGCCCCTCTCATGCGCGAGAAATTAGTGTGGGCATTTAAAGCACGCTTCTTTATCACCTGTACAAAACCATCATCACCTAGTGTTCTTCATCTTCATCGTTAGTGGATATAGCTCTTGAGTCGGTTCTGTGCCTCGGAGGTGACTGTTCTGGTCATATCTTCCAGGCCTAATAAAGGCGTGAAAAGGAATTCGTCGCAATATAATTGATTTTAGTGATAAAGGCCACCTTTTTAAATGCAATAATCATGGTGCTTAGGAACACTTCTTATACTCAACTAAACAATTGGGATCGGAGAACTTTAGTGAGCTGTGCTAAGGGCTTTAATCCAGTCCTGAAGGTTGTGAGGAGGAATAGTGGCAAGGTAGAAAGCTGGACATAAAGATTTTAATTATGGTCAACCAAACACCACAGGCACAGCTAAATATGCAAAGAAACAGGTAAGCCAGTTATCATAGTGTGGGCTTTAGCACCAAAGGCTGGTGAACATCAGTGTTGAATACTGCATCTTCAAGAACGATTCACACAAATAGCACTTGTATATGTTGGGTAAATATGTATAAAACTTGCAATTTAGTGGCTGAAAGCAGGAAATGACAGGAACAATACAGCTACAGCATAGTCAAAATTTTACACAATTAAGCCTGCCACAGTATCACAAACAGAGCTACAGGAGACGACACACAAATGTCTCTAGTCAATGAAAATGTAAAACAAAGTCAGTTTATATATACCAAATACATAATGTTCCCACATATCCCGAAGTGCCTGCCTAACAAAACCACCATTCTAAAGATGATAAAAGCAAATTAGTGACACCCCTTCGGCAACACTGAATGCTCACTAAAGAGCATCTTCATCCAGTAATTAACGTAGCATCAAGGTTCTCATAAAAGCTCGGGCTGCATGCATCCTCACAATTCAATAATTAAAACAATAAAAATGACCCCTTGCTGTTCTAATATTTTGTTTTTATTTGAAGTATTTGTCCATTGTATATATTTAAAAATTTAAATATTCGATTTAGTATCCCAAATATGCACTATCCAATTCAGGTACTGAATTGAATAGAATGTTATTCAATTCACCCTTACAAATTTATATGAAAGCCTTCTGCAAGATTTTTTTTCCTTTTTCTTGCAGTATATTTGATGATATTAGGTTTCATAAAGAAAGCCCTACAACTTCATGCTTTGAAGTGAGCCAAAAGAGCTTTCTCGTGAGTATTGTTATGCTGATGCAGGCACTCATTCTATGTAGTTGCCTGTCTGGTAAAGGTAATGGTGCAAAACATAGTATTGGAGCATACGTTAAAAAGGATAAGGGCCAGTTAACGGCCAGAATAATTAATGACGATTAATTGAATGAGTTTGTAGCAATACGAGGACAGTGTCTTTTAGATATATACTATCATGACTGCACATATCCCGAATAGAACAGTGTTCTTTCACTCATCATTTGACTCATTTGATGACAGCAAACAAGCAAGTCTTAGCAGATTGTGTTGATTGATTGATTGATTTGTGGGGTTTAACGTCCCAAATGATTATGAGAGACGCCGTTACCATACGATTATGAGAGACGCCGTTCAGGAAGGCTCCGGAAATTTCGACCACCTGGGGTTCTTTAACGTGCACCCAAACCTGAGTACACGGGCCTACAACATTTCCGCCTCCATCGGAAATGCAGCCGCCACAGCCGGGATTCGAACCTTAGCAGATTGTGTGTGTACACTGAAGTGCGCAGCCAAAGTTAACCTACACCTGAAGTCCACCAAAGTGAACTAAAACCTCACCAAACATTAGGGACTAGCATCGTTAAAGATACTTTAATTAGATCCTTGAAAGGGCCTTGCAACACTTTTTGAGCAAAAACACTGCCGATGGGCAGTAGAGGCTCCCGACAACAGGCAAGCCAAATATTATAATGCAGCACGCGGCCTGGAATTCACAATAAATTATCAAAGTCAGCTAAAAATTGCTTTCTTTTCTTTCAATAAATGACGGGAAATGCTCAAAAATCACTCGTAGAAGGCCTATCTATCAGCCATTAGCTGATTTGAACATGGCTCGCCCGGTTGTTACAGAGATCGTCGCAGGAGGCCGCGACTTGTCCAAGCGTGCACGCATGATCACACTGAAAAACTCGGGCATTAGAAGAAAAAAAAACCAAGACAGAAGTGCTCAAGATCAGGAGGCACGCATGACTTTTTTTTTCCTGCCATCCCTCCCTGCTTAGCTTCCAGTCCTTTCATCAAAACGAGAGAAGGGAGTATGCAAATGCAGCATGCAACAAATCTTTCTAACTCCACTCGCACTGAACAGATTCTTAAAATTTTTACGGCATTGAATTCGTGAAGCAATAAGCTCTTCCAGTGAATTCATTCCATGATTACTTTAAAAAGTGTTTCAGGGCACCTTTAACGCTACCTAGCTACCCAATTCATTTATTCTCTCTTTCTCGTCTGCCAAAGGCAAACACAACACACCTGCCACTGAAATACCTCTCTTTTTTTATTTATCAGGTTGACATGGTTAAGATTTCAAGCCTTTCGCAGCCTCTTTTGCATAGGTGCAGCTCAATAATAACATCCAGCTGCCAGCACACCACCAATTTTTTTTCCTTGCAGTGCCAGGAATGATGCCTCCTACAAAGGCAGCAAGAGCAAGAATGCTCAACTTTTGTTAAAAAAATTTGGAGACAGTTCCATGACCATGACTATCTGCACATTATAGACACTAAAAGAGTGTGAACATCAAACTTTACCGATCTATTGCACTGTTATAATAAAGTTTGATATGAGGGCGTTTAACTGCAGAAATAAAATCAACCAATGTACAATGCACAACCTTTTACTGTGTGAACTCAATGCACTGCCCACATTCCAAAGAAAGAGGCCTTAAAATACCATGAAATGCACTATTGTACCAGTTAAAACATTTTCTCTGCAGTGCAAAAACATTTTACACAGAGAGGCCTTGCATATGAAATCTGTACGATTACATAGGGCCCTTTGTAATGAAAATGTGTGAAAAAATTAAAGAAAGTGCAGCAGACAATTACCTCATCAAAGTAACAAAGCAAAACCTGCTGCTATTAGATTAAATTGAAGGAATCAAAGTTGCTTATGCGCAATTCAAACTGCAGAGAGATATTTGCAGCAAAGATTAACAAGGGCACAAATACTTACTAATTTTACGGCAGCATAAAAAGCCCCAAGAATCCCAGCAGCTCCTCCGCAGTCTCTCTTCATGCCACACATGGCAGTCTGTGAAAAACAGTTCACATGCATTTTTTTACTAAAGTGCAATTTCGCAGCGGTACCTACAGTAGTTTAAATCGTGGTTTTTTAGTAAAAAAATTGGTCCAGATTTCTCCTTTCTTGACGCCTCTGTTAGTATTGTTGCAGTGAATCCTTGGTCCAGATTTCTCCTTTCTTGACGCCTCCATTAGTATTGTTGCAGTGAATTTATGTAATCATAACACCATACAAGCCCTCTAGACACAGGTAGTTTAAGAAATGATGCTTGTTCCCAGTGACACACTGAGACAATTTCCCTTTTTGTCAGAATTCGTGAGGAATAATTCAATCTAATTCAACACAATTTATAAGTGCCTTAGTCTAACAGAATTGAATCCTTGAGAAAAAGAGGTACTGCAGAAGCGGGCATGATTCCTTAGGCATTAGCCAAGCCATTAGCCAAACATTAGCCAAGTATTCCCCGTGCTTGCTAAAAATAGTGCTAATATGCCAAGGTGTACATTGTCATTACGCAGAAATATGCTGTGCATAACATAATAGTACAGAGAAAGCAAGTGAAGAGGTTGCAAAAAAAGCATTTAAATAAATAAATACACAACACAAAAAGTGCTCCCAAACAGAACATACATTTCTACAGCTGTGAAACTGCTGTAAAGTTTTCCTGCTGAAGCTTAGGTTCGGCCATATATTAGCATGTTTTTCTTTGGTCTTAAGTAGGTACTCCGTTTACATGCTCAAGGCTCTTATGCATCCTCTGTAGTTGGTGCATAATATACAATAGAAAATGGAAGCGAGTAACATGAACACTTGGACTTGTCAGGCACTTGTGTGCATTTGTGAAGTAGTGTGACCGGCAGTGATCACAGGACAAGGACCTTGAGCCCTTCACAATAAATTGCTAAGTAGACTGGCAGTGACATGTTTGCTGGGTTTGAATGGTTTAGCTGTACTTCGAGGCAAATTTATTAAGGCGATTTACATATTTCTCTTTTTTTTTTCAAATATAAATAAAACTACTAAATGGCATTGAAATGGTTATTCATTTGTTTCTGGTTGAGTCCTGCAACTGAATGTAGAGACACTAGCATTAACTAACACTAATAGGCTCTGCTAAGTTGAGTCTGAGCTTTTAGCCTGCACTTTATATATATGTAACTGCTGGCATCAAATAACTGGTTGAATGATTAGCTAACTAGCCCAACTTAACAGAGTGTAGCAAGAATCATTAGTGAGAGGCTGGCAGCATAAAAATAATAAGACAGAGTATGCCAGTTGAGTTGAATAATAGTATGAGGTATTAATACTACAAAAGTCAAAGCTCTCAAACTTTCCAGAGATGACAAAATGTCAGCATAGAAAAAGCCTTTAATCACCTTCGACTTCAGGCAGAGTCCTCCGGTGTCATACACAATACCTTTGCCCACCCAGGCAATGGTATCTTGAGAGCCCTCCGGCGTGTGGCTTAGTACTACAAGCGCAGGTGGGTGCACTGCTGCACGGCCAACAGAGTAAATACCTAAAAAAGAGAAAATTAAAGCTATGGATCTTTCTTGAGTGGACCAGCACAATAAATCCTCTCCAAGCTCGAATCACCGACTGCTTACAGGTGGACCAATTTTTGCCACTTAGTGCTAAGGCACTTGATATTATATTTCAAGAATGAAAATCAAGAATTATGTTCTTTTGTGTAAGTTTTCACAATTTATTCTCATTAGCATGCAACTGCATATTTAATTATTCTACAGTCAGTCATGTTCCATTTTTACATTAACAAAAATAATGGGCTCAAGATCCATGCGCAATTTATGTTCAGTCGCATTCGTTTAGAGCAAATAAAAAGTTCTGACATTGGCCTTGGAACGCATCCCATCGACTGAAATGTCAAAAACATAGTATTTCACCAAAGTGGTCAGCTGCAGTCATATGCAGCACATTGATATCCAGTGAAGACACAAGTGTCAGGGACAAGTCAAACCTCGGCCTTCCCCGGAGTGCACCGTTGGGCAACAAGCGGGTGGGCAGTTTTGGTGGTGGTGCCTGGCAATGAAACTGCGGTAATGTGCCTCCTAGATGTGGTCGCACAAGGGGAGTGTGATGGCAGACTGCAGAAACATAGCCTACAGCTTGTGGCTGCAGCGGTGCTAGATAAGGAACACCCCAGTGACTGCTGGATTTCATCGCATACTTCAGCAATCTACATTACCTCAGGCTGTGGAAAAGTTGAAAGCTTCGCAGCTCCTCTCGCATGATAGCGTGGATAGTCTTGCACAAGTCCTCTAAATTGAGGCCTTGAACAGCTGTGCGATCGGGAAACAATTGAAGATTGTACTGTCGTATGCGCATTTCAAGCGTTTTCTCGAACGTGGTTGCCTCCTATAGAAACTGAGGGACAGTTTTAGGTGGGTTCCTCATCAGTTCTGTAAAGAGCTCCTGCTTGACCCACCGCATGAGGAAACACTTTCTTCTCTTCAGGCATGTCGACAGTGGCGTGGCAAAAAAGCCAGATAATCTCTATAAAGATGGTAATACCTACTGTCGTTCGGCAGGTGCACCCACGTTTCCAAGAGCGTGGCAACCCTTTCCTTTCATAGGACGCTCGTAAACACTGCTAAGAAGCTGGTTCTTAACATGTCTGACATCACGGCAAACTCCCTGTTCTCGAACCAGGGCTTGGCACTGTCTTCCAAAAAAAAAGTGCGATTTATGTCCTGGTTGTTGAAGGCCACTGTTTTTTCATATGACCCAAGCCACTTTTCTGAATCCTTGCATGATGATACTCAGAAGATTGGTAGCTTCCTTATCATGGTCACTGAAGATGACACTGCAGCTATCATCGCTGCCATATATTGCAACGGGTATGAGCCGAGAGAGGAGACGAGGAGAAAGACGTGAACTGGTGCAAATACAGACGCCATTATTACCCGACCATGAACCTCGCCCTGCTAATAAACACCCTTCGACTTAAACCGTAACAGTTTTGTCGTGGAGGTGTTGGGAAATCGCCCAAGACGACGGAGTCACTGCCACTAGATCCTCGCTGACTGCCTCCAACACTACCGGAACTCGCTATGTCAAACAACGGTGACATACACTCATCTTCAACTCCTCTGGCACAAACACCCGGTGCCTGGATGCATCAGTTGAAGCCGTGCCCTTTCTCAGGGAAACCCGGCGAGGATGTGGTAGAATGGCCAACACGCTACAAACGTGTGAGGAAGTGCAACGGCTGGGATGCTACGGCTCAGCTAGAGTATGTTGCTCTCTCCCTCACAGACACTGCTCTTGTGTGGTTTGAGAACCACGAAGAGTCGCTAACAACCTGGGATCACTTCGCTATCCAACTCGCAGAGTGCTTCGGGGATTCCACTGCGAAAAGAAAGCGAGCCGAGCAGACATTACTTCAGCGTGCTTAAGTGCCAGGTGAGACATGTACCACGTACATTGAGATAATCCTGAAGTTGTGTAAGAGGGCGAATCCTTGCATGTCCGAAGAGGACAAAGTCGGGCATCTTCTGAAAAGTATTGCCGAAGACATGTACTTGATTGGCAAGAAGAGTCTGAATTCGGTTGCTGACGTGATCAATCATTGCCACACATTTGAGACCTTTAAGCTACACCGTATCACGCCAAAGTTCGGCAGGTTGGTGAATGTTGCGACGGTTGCAGGCATTGAGGACAGCTACAGTATCCGTTGGGACCTTGCGACCACTGTGAGGCAAATTGTTCGTGAGGAACTCGAGTGACACAGCAAATCAATGAACACCGTGAAGGTTGAACAGTTCAGTTGCGTTTGTAATCAACCTCACGAAGCTGCACCGGTGGTTTCTTCACTGTCGGCCATGCCAGGCGTTGCAGACAGTCGGACCGATCCCCTACAACAGCACCACCATACATTTTCTGACAACGTGACGAATGACCAACGCGCTTATCGGGCTACGACCGCGAATCGGCACTTGGAAGATCGTATCTACTGCTCGCAGCATCCGAAGGCGGCTTATCCCAAAGTCTACAATGTCGGTCAGCCTTCACCTCTTTGCTACAGCTGCGGTGCGATACGACACATCTCTCGTTTTTGTCGCCGTCGCCGCCAGACGAGATATGGCCCACCACCGACTTGGCCTAACATTGAAGGCATCAACAATGATCATTTGCCGGCAGAACATCGCACAACAAACGCTAAAGGCTCGTTAGCCAGAAATTCCTTCCGCCATTCCAACAGGAGAAGTGACTTACCAGCATCAGCCTGGCACCACTAACCAATCACTTACGCCATTCACCATCACCACAGCGACGTTCTACACCACCGCCTCTATCGGGAAACTAGCCAGCGCGGTCGATGGAGGTAAGGTCGCCGGCCGGTCTCCGTCTCTGCAAACTGCTCCTCTTTCTATTATGTTGTCCCGAAACAAAGTGTGTGTGTTAATTGATAGTGTGCCTGCAACTGCGTTAGTAGATACTGTTTCTACGGTTTCCGTCATGAGTGCCACATTCAAGGAAAGACTTCGTCGGAAGGTTATGTTCCCGTGGAATGGTGGTGTGACATTTCGTGGTGTCAGCGGAGAGTGCCTCGTTCCTCTAGGTATTTGTGTTGCAAGTGTTTTGTTTGGTGCTGAATATCTTGTCACGGAATATTTGGTATTACCGCGGTGCACTCATGATGTGATTCTTGGGATCGACTTTCTTCAGGATTGTGGTACTTCCGTTAATTTCGGCACAGGGGAAATTACGGTGAATAACATGCTTTTGTCTACGTTTGCTGAGACATCTTTACCGGAGAAAAACTGTTTCGTCATGTCAAATGATTCTCTTTTAGCACCGTGGTCTTTATCCCGTGTTCCTGTTAATTTTGCTGTTGCCAACCTTTCATCGTTTGACGCGCAAATTCAATCATTTGCGACGGGTTGCGGGAAGAAAATTGTACTTGTGCCTCGTTCTCTCATGACAGTTGTGAACGGCCCCTCAAGCTTATGGGCTTTCAATTGTTCTTCGGTGCCTGCTGTTCTTCAGCGTGATATGAAGCTTGCCGAGTTCGAGAAAATCACGTACGGCACTATCACCATTTTAAGTGAAAAGCATCAGTCTGAAACAAGCGACCCCCAGCGAAGCAGTTCTGAAGAACAGATCTTAAGAATGATCAGCAAGTCGCTACCCTCACATGAACGCCACGCTCTTGCACAAGTCCTTATGACACATCTTTCAGGGTTTGATTTCACACAAGGTGATACAAAAACTTCCCTACCACATTCTCGTGCTCATCACAGAATTGACACTTCTGCACACCCCGTTCGTCAAAAACCTTACCGCGTGTTGTCGACAGAGAGGGAAGTGGTAGGTGAACAGGTCACCGATATGTTGCGGAAAGGTGTTGTCCAAGAGTCATCTAGTCCGTGGGCAGCGCCTATGATCTTAGTAGGGAGGAGGATGGATCATGGCGCTTTTGCATCGACTATAGAAAACTAAACATGGTCACCAAAAAAAGATGTGTATCCGCTTCCCAGAATTGATGACGTCATTGATTGCCTGCATTTCGCTGCCTACTTTTCGTCACTGGATTTGCGATCAGGGTATTGACAAATATCCATGCACCCAAACGACAAAGAGAAAACAGCCTTTGTGACACCTGACGGCCTTTATAAATTCAATGTTATGCCGTTCGGTCTTTGTTATGCACCGGCAACATACGAACGATTTATAGACACAATACTTTGAAGACTTCAATGGGAAATTTGTTTATGCTACTTAGATGATGTGGTAATTTTTGGCAGCGCACTGAACGAGCATAACAGATGTCTCAGTCTTGTTTTGGAATGCATACAAAAGGCCGGCTTGGTCCTAAACTCTAAGAAATGTCGTTTTGGTGAAACGGAGACATTAGTACTTGGACATCTCATTGACAAAACTGGAGTAAGGCCAGACCCACGAAAAATCGAGGCTGTCAGCTCTTTCGAACCACCAAAATCGGTGCGGGAACTGAAGAGCTTCTTGGGCCTATGCTCATATCTTCGTCGTTTCGTTCCGAGGTTCGCTGATGTGGTGCATTCCCTAACATGTCTTCTTGAAAATGACGTTTCTTTCAACTGGACTTCAGCTTGCGACGATGAGTTACGCCAGCTAAAGTTTCTACTAACGTCGGGGCCCATACTGCGTCACTTTGATGCGTCCTTGCCTATGGAAGTGCATGCTGATACTAGTGGCATCGGCATCGGTGCTGTACTTGTGCAGCGTCATCAAGGAGCTGAGCACGTAGTGGCTTATGCCAGTCGCTCTTTCAACAAAGCTGAAGGCAACTAAACCGTAACAGAACAAGAATGCTTGGCAGCGGTTTTCACGGTACACAAATTTCGACTTTATATCTATGGACGTCCATTCAATATCGTTACCGACCATCACGCTTTATGCTGGCTGGTCAATCTTCGTGACCCGACTGGTCGACTGGCGTGTTGGGCTCTTCGACTTCAGGAGCACAACTTCGTCATCTCGTTCAAGTCTGGACGCCGCCCCGCGGATGCCGACAGTCTCTCCCGCCTTCCTTTGAAGACGACCGAGTGTGAAGAAGACAGTTTTGATGACTGTTTTGCCTCCATTTCTTCCACATTCCCATCCTTAAGTACTTTCAAGAAAGAACAAGAGGCTGATATTAGCTTGGAGCCATTACTTGTCGCGGCATCGCGTCCTAGAGCCACCAGCCGCTTTTGTGTCCATGACGGCCTTCTATACAAGAGAAATTATTCGGCTAAAGGCGCACGCTTCCTTCTAGTCATACCACAGAGTCTACAATTTGACATTCTGAAGGCCATGCACAACAATGCGACAGCTGGTCATCTGGGGTTCATCAGAACTTTGAATAGGACACAAGAACGCTTTTACTGGCTCAGAATGCAGTACACAGTCAAGCACTATGTCACAAGTTGCGAACAATGCCAACGCTACAAGCGGCCTACGACTCCTCCGCCAGGTCTTCTCCATCCACTGCCACCTCCTCATCTACCATTTGATCAAGTTGGTATCGATCTTTTGGGTGCATTTCCATGCTCGTCTAACATCAATCGATGGATGATGGTATGCGTCGACCATCTGACTCGTTACGCAGAAACTGTGGCGATACCATCCTCGACAGCGGCATGTGTGGCCATGTTTTTGCTTAGATTCATCATTCTTCGGCATGGGCCTTCCCGAAATGATCATTAGTGATCGTGGTCGTCAGTTCGTTGCGGACGCCATCTAAGAACTGGTTCGTCTGCAATTCGCAGTTCCGCCATTCATCCCCTTATCACCCTCAAATGGGCTGGCAGAACGTACGAACAGAACTCTGACTAACATTTTGGCCATGTACGTATCATCTGACCACAAGGACTGGGATGACATTCTCCACTTCATTACCTATGCGTATAACACGGCCAAACATGAGACAACCAATTACAGTCCTTTTTACCTCCTTTACGCATGTTCACCGTTCGGCTGCATCGATACTATTCTACCATTTGACTTGCATAGCGACTACTCTGTCTCCAAGACACTCTGCCTAGCCGAAGAAGCCCGGCGTATTGCTCGTCTTCGTACTGTGGCTTCGCAACACCGATCGAAAGAAAGCTATGACAGCCAACATCAGTCTGTCGCATACTGCAAAGGAGACTGTGTGGTTGTGGACGCCACAACGTAAACAGGGCCTATGCGAGAAGTTTTTACCCCAGTACAGTGGCCCATTCGTCATTGTTGATCGCTTGAGCGATTTGACATACGTGGTAGCACAGCTGACATCAGCTGGCCGTCCGTCAAACTGGACCCAGCTGGTACATGTCGCTCGCCTAAAAACGATTTCACCCTAAACATTCAGAGTGATTCATACTCGCCCAGTGGGCTTTGTCTGGGAGCCGGGAAATGCAACGGGTATGAGCCGAGAGAGGAGATGAGGAGGAAGACGTGAACTGGTGCAGATACGGATGCCATTATTACCCGACCATCAACCTCGCCCTGCTAATAAACACCCTTCGACTTTAACCGTAACAATATCAAAATGAAGCAAGAAACAAGCATTGCAATATGCAGAAGGTTCTGCTAATCCTATTTGCAAAATATTTTGCTCTTTCTTGGCCACTAGTCCAAACAAATGGTGAAAACAAGTTGCATCCACATATGTGGACATTACACCTCAAGAGGTTATTTTTCTTAGCATACCTACAGCTAGGTTAGAATAGCATCAATGTCCAATGGCAATCAAAGACTGCTATAAAGAAATCACATAATAAACCGTCAAATGCAATTTCTTGAGCTCTTTTATACCTTCTATATTTTTAAAAATTTATCGTTACAGCTCATATACTATAGTACATGGTACAACCATTACCAATCCCCTTGTAGGCACACCAACATTTGCATTATGAAGGACCTTGTCGAACTTTGACTGAAATAAATGAAACCTAGCCACAAATTTCTGCACCATAACTTCTTGAACGAATTACCCTTCGACAGTTACACCAGCTTGCAAATTTATAAAAAACAGCATCAACAGGACTAAGTTGTTGAACATATGACAAACTAAATGTATAAAATGCCTCGTCATTAGGTAGAAAAGTTTTCAAATTAGCTGGGAAGTCTACTTTCATGCAGCAACTAACCCCTCCCCCCACCCATTTCAAAATTTATTTCCTCATACCAGAATTAAAATATTGTCTAGCTTTGGATGGCCCATAAAGTTAAGCTGACAAGACTTTAGTGTTCTTTCCAGATATGGAATATGCAGGCTTTAATGACAAAATATCACATCGAGCACTGTAAGATTGCAAAATTTAAATAAAACAGCAGAAAGGCTAAATTCTTTTCAAATTTGAAAGTGCAAATTACATCATCTCCACATTTCCTTGAAGTAAAATCTTAACGTAAGTAAATTGAAACCTAGAAATAAAACCACCTGTCCAACATATGTACACATGCGTTGAAAATGAATAAGGATATTTTAAACATCAAAAACACACACCGCCAAAGCCTTTGGCATTAAGTTCCTCCCCCTTGATTATAGTGGGCTTGAGGCCTAGAGCACTTCCAATAATTTCCACCTCCTGGAAAAAGGCAAAGAAAAGAAGAAAGATGCAAAATGCGAGTCTTCCAGGAGACAACAAACAACACTCCAGTAGAGCAGAAAAAAAAAACACTTGACAATGCTAATAGGTACCCATCTGAACAATTACAATCAGTATTTTCCACAAATGTTAATAGAGGGCTAAGGCTACATCAACTCTAGCAGTAACAAGTGTATTTCAATGCCAAATGGCTTAGTCATATGGTCAACATGACTGAGAAATTGAAGTAATTGTAAATAGCCAGCAAATAAACTAAGCAACAAAAAGACAGAATTTCAATTGAAATCTTGAAAGAACCAAGATGTTTACTCGGCCTCAACAAAAAAAACTCGCAGCAGTGCATTAATACCACGCAGTGATAATCTTACCCCAAAGTATCGCCCCTAGGTACTATCGGCATCAAATGAAACTCGAACAGCGGCAAGCATTCACAATGGTATTGTGTGTGCCTTCCAGTCATCACCAATAACAGGCGCAGACATCGAGTTTGGCAGCACTGCACAAATGTGCAGTGCTGCCAAACTAGATTGGGTGAAAACTGCTTCTAGTGATATACATATCACATCGTAGCGTGCAGTTCATTTTGAGAAAACTGACACCAGTGCTCTAATCTGAGTACTGTCATTATTTCAGACCATAGGATACCCCTTTAGCGTTGATGCAGTCGAAGTGCCTAATAAATCGACGATCAATCTCATTAGGGGGAGAGAGGACAGGAGAGAGAGAGAAGACCTAAGACCCTTTGCTTCCTATGCTGTAACTTGTTCAAAAAGGCACTTCTCTGAAGTTAAGTGCTTTCCTCAGACAAGGCCTTCAGCTAGTGTTCCCTCTCCACAGGCAAAACATTCCTCCCTAAGATCCTGCTCGCGATATACCCATAACTATTTAACATACACAAAGAAGTCGGCCAAACTCGCACTGCTTGACCCAAATTAATAAAAAAAATGTGGTAGAGGCCACCATTCGACTACTGCTTGAATGATTGCGATCTGCTAAATTTTTTAGCTGCTCCTTTTGTATTTTTTGTTTCTTTGTTGTTTGTTATCAGTGTGAAGCCACATGTGGGTATTTATGTTCTGCACACATGAACAGTAAAAGTTAGTTGAGAGTTTGGCAGTTGTGTTTCACGTGCTCCATGTTTTCGTCTTGCTTCGTGGCACCGTTTTGTAATTATGAAAGCCAGCAGTACCTAAAGCATGCCATAATAAGTAATTGCAAATTGATTTTGGCCACCTGGGGTTTTCGTGCACCTAAATCTATCTAAGTGTTTTTCCAGGTATCTCAAACTCATTGAAATACTATACACAAGGCCGCAGAATCAAAACATTTACCTCAATCTCAGCAGAACAACGTCATAATGACAGATAGTTCGCTTGTTACATTCGTTCTAAATACCCCCTTTAAAAGAAAAATGCAATAACTTGACGATAAAATGGTGGCTAAGCGGGCTTATCGATATGTACAGACAGTTAAACCGAACCGTGTAGAGAAAGGACACAGAAAAGGCCACACAACACAGATGCCGACAACCAACAGAGATTTCTTGCACAAACACGAAATATACAGACAGAAAAAGACTACATAAGACATACGATGTACAGTACAGTCCACTGTTAAAAGGAACACGCAAGTTCGTGGCCGCCAGGCGGCGAGGTGCTATCTGGCGGCAAGATCTGTAAATGCGGCGCATGCGCATTGAATCGTAGGGACGGCAGGCACCTAATTTCATCCGCTATTAATTCACCTGTGTGCAGGAAAGTGTCGGTATGCGCTTGCATATTTTTGCGATGCAATTGATGTAGCTGTCACTCTGCCTGTTCCTTGTCAGATTTCCAGCAAACAAAAAAATCTAGTTTTTATTTATTGCTGCATTCATATTCGCAGCACAAAAAAGAACCAGACACAGACACGAGGAAGGAACACATACACAGGACGGGCAATGTGTATGTGTAGCGCCCATCCTGTGTATGTGTTCCTTGCTTGAGTCTGCGTCTAGTTTAGTTCCTTTTTATGCTATGAATATCAGTACAAGTGACTAAAACCAACTAGCCCGCACCCCCGCTTTATTGCAGCAGTTTTTTCGCAAGCTCACACATCATTGAATCCATCATAATTTTCACATACTGCTTGCTGAAACTGGCCACTTTTGATAACAGATAAGGCTACTGAAGTCTGATGCATTACACATTCTCAGCTCATCTCTGCGACCATGAAACATAGGAACATTAAAGAAGCAGAAGGCTAAGTTTGTGTCAGTTGATTTACAGTGCAAAAAAGAAAAGCGCAAAGGGTCAGGGCTCGCTAGCACACGCAGAGTGCATGGGCAGATGAGTAGCAGACGATGCGGGGCACGCATCACCTTGATTAACCAATGCGTATGCGCTGAATTTCGAAATCTCGCCAGCAGTCAGCGCTCCGCAGACCGCCGGCCACGCACTCATGTGTTCCCTCTTACAGTGGATCATGCTGTACTATTGGCATCAAATGAAACCCGAACAGCGGAGCGCGTGTTTCAAGCATTAGAAACAGTATGGTGTTGGCCGTCCAGTCATCACCATTGACAGGCGTGCACATCCGGTTTGGCAGCACTGCGCGATCCCCCTATAAAGTGCGTTATCTCCGTTTCTGCCCCAGTTTTCGTATGGTGATAATGTTGGCCATCGTGGGCGTATTTGGTTGTATCACTTGCAATTTTTTGCTTTTACTTCAGTGTCGCAGTGCAATCAGTGTCTTGGCAAGATAAAACAAAAAGAGAAATATAATCGGTTGGCGGTTGATTTTAAAACAATCGTCATATCTCATTCACCAGCACTGCTTCACCTGCACCGTTCTTTCAGAGACCAACCTGAAAAGGGTTCACTCTAACTGGAAATGCCGAGCGCTTCTTCGGAACAGAGACCACAAATTGTTTCGCTTTACCGGCACGAAGTCAAACAGCGTGAAATTGCCAGCATTGTGAACCGAGTTTTGTCTACTATAAATAGCATTTGCCAGGCATTCCGTGATTATGGGCTCCATTATGACAAACAATACAATACTACAATACTCGCCTTCGGCTCCAGTAGTTTAACCTCTGTATTTTTTATTTTGTTAATTTCAAATAACATTACCATACCTGGAACAAGAGCAGAAATACCACACTATAGGGGGATTGCGCAGTGCTGCCACACCGGATGTGTGGGCCTGTCTGTGTCAATGACTGGTGGACGGCACGCACTATGCCATTGATAAGGCTTGTGCCACGCGCTCCGCTGTTTGCGTTTCATTTGATGCCGATAGTACATGTTAGCACTTTTAAAAGCCTGTGACCCCTAGTCATCTTTTTATCATGTACATTATGTGTCTTCTACAGTCCTTTTCTGCCTATATATTTCGCGTTGCACAATAAATCCCTGTTAGAAGTCAGCACCTATGTTGCATGGTATCTTTCATATTCTGTTTCTGCACGGTTTGAATTAATAATGTGAACTTGACTACGTACAGAGACTATAGTTTTATCCACTAAGACTTCTTGAGGTGCACTAAATTTCGTAAGCTCAAACGTCACGCAATGTCATGCATGTCACGCAATGACCATGAAATCAGACCACTTTTGTTCGTAGTTTCAAGCATAGTACCTTATGTCATAGCTTATCTCGATCTCACCTTGATAAAATCCTCTGTGTTCATGTCACGGCATGGAGAGTCAACAATCTTTGCTGTCAACTGGATGCCCTCTGCAGCTGCAGTCAAACAGCGCAATTCTGGCTCACCCAAGTGGCGACATCCGCCTACTCCATCCACAAGCAGAAACTCCACCGTAACACAGTGAGACACTGGAGTACCAGTGGACTTTCGGCTGAATACTGGAAATGCCCTGGCAACAGCACAAGCGCTGGCAAACACATCTTGCCATTCACATACCACCTGCAAAAAAAAAAAAGAGTAAAATTCACTCAAAACTAGCATGCATTAAGGATGTGGAACAGCAATGGCGGGTATCCAAGTTCATTCATTTGTTCTCCTTTCCATTCAAAACTTACTTGCTAGGGTAATCTGATAGCTCTCATTCTCAGGCTACAAGTTCACAATGTACAGCCACATCCACATCTGTGTAGAGCACACAAGCAGCCAGCCCTGCTCTGAGGGGCAGCACCTTGCAGCAGTTGTGGGCTCCAACGTGGAGTGCCCAGGAGCATACACAGCCCATTAGACATACACATCTGCGCAGATTTCTTCAAATCAGTAAGGATGCCTGAATATGCCTCTGTACTGCTGGCTGTATGCGTTAGCTGAGGTTATCTCTCTTTAATGTTACTGCGTGCATCGGAACAGCCAAAAAGCACGCCTCGCTTGTTTTAAATGAGGCAGCCACGTGTTATCAGCCCCGACGCACGATTGTTCGGCATTGAGATGCCACAAGCGCCCAGAGGCAAAGTACATATTCAGTTACACAAGGGCACTCTTCAACGCCGCCACTTGAATGTAGCAGGTCAGTATGTATATTAGGCCGCACATAACCCTGGGCAAACGTCAGACCCCTCAATCGCTGCAAAGCGCCGCCCCTCATAGCAAGTCCGACTGCTCGTGCACTCTATACAGACGCGGACGCAACTGCACATGCAGCTTGTGTCAGGTATCAGAGGACATAGCTCAAGATCAGAAGACATTAAAATTTTTATTCTGTCTATATGCATCATCTTCCACTCTTCATCTATTTTGTTCTGAGACAGTGGCTTTGCAAGTCTAATACAGAGATAAAATCCTAGCCTTCTATGGCATACAGAGACTTGCCATGATATTCTGGACATAAAAACCCCTGGACTGCCACCTGCCTACATGCGGTGATTTTATGTATTAGTGGTGATATGAGGAATAACTGCTGCAAGTGCCGAGACACTAAAGGGGCCCTGCAACACATTTTCAGCATGGTCAGAAAACAATGCCAATCAGTGATGATGATATATGGTGTTTTTTGGCGCAAGGGCCATTTGATGGCCAAAGAGCGCCAGTTCATGGGACAAGGAATGTGGACAATGATTGTGATTAGCGGCTGTATAAGGGCCATAAAATTCCTCGCAGCAAGGCGGGTAAAAACATACAAGTAATAAAATCATGACCATGCCGTGAAAGGTGTGTGTGGTGTGAATAGGTGACAAAAGTTGGTCATAATGAAAAACGATGGTGGACATGTATGGCATTAGCACAAGTACCTCACACGTTTATACCCTTGCGTCCAAGGGCCATGAGGCAAGTGCTTTCCAGTGTAGCCACCGCAGCAAAAACCTCTCTGGAGAGGTTGTGCTACGGAATGCCCGGGTATATGATATGAAAATTATGAATTTCTTTTAAAAACGCTAACAATGATTTATTACTAAAAAGCGGTTCCCTGCCAACGAACATTGCAGGGTGTAGAGGTATATGTTGTCGGTAGGATAATGGAAAGTGTTGTCTTCTTAGAGTGTCTAACTGTTTACATTGAATTAAAACGTGAAGAACTGTTAATGCCTCACCACATTTATCACACAATGGTGGATCACCACCGGATAAAAGATGTGTGTGTGTCGTGTATGTGTGTCCTATCCTGAGTCTTGTTAGTGTTACCTCTGTTAGACGCGATTTTGATACTGGTGATACTGGCCAAGGTGTGGCTTGATAACGTGTAGTTTGTTTTGTGTGTGTGTATCCCACTTGCTCTGCCAGTAGTCCCTGAGGTTTTGTTTGAGAGACGGCTTAAGATCAAGGGCCGGGATTGATATGGATTTAATGGCGGTGCTCTCATGGACGGATGCAGCGAGCTGATCCACCCTCACGTTGCCTTGGATCTCGCGATGCCCTGGCACCCAGCACACTACAACATGTTGTTTGAGTGTGTAGAGTGTGCACAAAATGGAGTAAAGTGAGACAAGGACTGGGTTTTTTTGTTTTTTAAGACTGTGCAGAGCTGTTACCACACTGAGGGAGTCTGTATAAATTACTGCTTTTTGTATTTGTAATTGTTTGATGTGTTTAGCTGCGACCAGTATCGCGTAAGCTTCCGCTGTGAAGATACTTGTGCGTGGACGTAGAGGGCCAGCATCCGAAAAGGATGGGCCGACAGCAGCGTAGGACACAGAGGAGTTAGTCTTGGAGGCATCTGTGAAGAACTCAGAACGTGTGTATTTGTGTTGAAGTTCCAGAAAGTATGTTCGGATATGGGCAATAGGTGCATGTTTTGTAACTTCTAGGAAAGACACATCGCAGTCTATAGTCTGCCACTGCCACGGTGGCGGGTATGCTACAGGAGCCATTAAACTGTGTTCAAGTGACACTTCAGTTTCTTCAGCTAGACGCTTGAGAAGGGCTGCCTCATCGAAGGCCTGTTTTGAAACAGAGTTGAGCTCGACAAATCATTAATTGTAGAGTATGTGGGGTGCTTCTTGTCTGCTTTCACCTTAAGAAAATAAACAAAGGACATGTAAGTTCTCTGCAGATAAAGCGACCACTCATTTGACTCAACATAAAGACTTTCTACGGGGCTGGTGCGAAAAGCACCCGTAGAAAGGCGGATGCCCAAATGGTGCACGGGGTCCAGCATCTTCAAGGCACTTTGAGTAGCAGACTGATAGACAACGGCCCCATAATCTAAGCGGGTACGAATGAGGCTTCTATAGAGGTTCATGAGGCATTTCCTATCACTACCCCACGTAGTACGTGACAACACTTTTATAACATTCATGGCTTTTAAACATTTTGTTTTTAAATACTTGATGTGCGGTACGAAGGTCAACTTGTTGTCCAAGATTAAGCCTAAGAATTTATGCTCGGCTTTGACGGACAGACGTTGCCCGTTCAGTCGAATGTCAGGTTCCAAGTGCATGCCTCTCTTTCGAGAAAACAAGACACACGTGCTTTTTTGTGGGTTAAGTCGAAATCCGTTTTCATCTGCCCATTTGGAGACCTTATTTAAACCCAGCTGAACCTGCCGCTCACACATGGCCAAGTTGCATGACTTGAAGCCAAGCTGAACGTCGTCGACATATGTACAATAGAACATCATGCGGGGAATGGACAAGTGCAAAGAATTCATTTTGATAATAAAAGTGTGCAACTAAGCACACCACCTTGTGGCACGCCTGTTTCCTGGACAAATGTTTGGGAGAGCACACTGCCTAGACGGACACGGAATGTCCGGTTTGACAGGTAACTTTCGATTATATGAAACATTCTTCCGCGCACACCAAGGTGGGACAGGTCTCTTGGAATTCCGAAACGCCATGTTGCATCATACGCCTTTTCGATATCGAGGAACACAGAAAATATTGTTTATGAACAAAGGCGTCTCTGATCTGTGCCTCGATACGAACAAGGTGGTCTGTGGTGGATCTACTTTCTCGAAACCCGCACTGAAATGGGTCGAGCAAATTGTTTGTTTCAAGGATATGTACAAGTCGGCAGTTTATCATTTTTTCGAATACTTTGCACAAGCAACTTGTAAGTGCAATAGGCCTATAACTTGAAGCTAAAGAAGGGTCCTTGCCCTCTTTAAGAATGGGAATAATAATAGCCTCTTTCCAGGAGGTAGGGATAGTGCCAGAAAACCAGATAGCATTGTACAAACAAAGTAAGGTTTTTCGTGTTTCGGCTGGTAGGTTTTTTAACATTTCATACACCACACGGTCAGAACCTGGGGCAGAAGTACTGCAGGAATTTAGAGATGTTCGGAGCTCCGCTAGACTGAAAGCTTGGTTATATGCCTCGTATCTAGTGGATTTGTGTTAGAGTTTCTGTTTTTCTATTCTTGTTCTGTATTTTTGGAAAGTGTCAGTATAGTGGGACGAGCTGGATACCCGTTCAAAATGTGCCCCGAGGAAGTTTGCCTGATCTTCCAAGGTATCGCCTTGAGTGTTTACGAGTGGGAGTGAGTGTACTTTTCTTCCTGCTACCCTTCGAACCATGTTCCAGACTTCGGCCTCTTGTGTATATGAATTTATCTCTGATAAAAACTTGTGCCAACTTTCTCTTCTGGCCTGCCGACGCGTTCTCCTTCCTTGAGACTATTTTCTTGAAGGTGTCAAGATTTTCGGCTGTTGGTGAGTTACGAAGCAATCTCCATGCCCTGTTCTGTTCCTTTCGCGCATTACGACACTCTGTGTTCCACCATGGGACGTGTTGTTTGCCGGGCATTCCAGATGTTTGCGGTATGCACCTGGCTGCTGCGTCAGTTAGAAAAGCTGTGAAGTACTGCACAGCTTCATCTATGTTTAACCTACATATGTCTGTCCAACTCAAACGTGTAGTGTTGAGGAACTGTTCCCAGTCTGCTTTGTTTATCAGCCATTTGGAAACATGTAGAGGACATTCATATGTTGTTTGTGAACTCAACACTACAGGAAAATGGTCAGTTCCATATGGATTGTTTATGATTTTCTATTTCAGTAGGGGTAGAAGTGAAGGTGATACGATGCTGAGGTCTATAGACGAGTAAGTTTTGTTGGCAACGTTATAGTAGGTTGGCTCTTTCCTATTCAACAAACAGGCACCGAAAGAGAAGAGAAATTGTTCAATGAGACGACCTTGTGCATCACAGCGAGAATCGCCCCACAGTCCACTATGTGCATTTAGGTCCCCAAGAAGCAAATAAGGTTCAGGCAGTTCATCTATTAAGGACTGAAATTCACGTCTTTCAAGACGTTGGTGGGGAGGTACATACAAAGAGCAGATGGTGACGAGTTTGTTTAAAAGTACCGCTCGAACAGCCACCGCCTAAAGGGATGTCTGGAGTGGTAAATGTGTACACGCTACTCCTTGGTTAATAATAATGGCTACGCCACCGGATGACGCCACAGCATCATCTCGGTCCTTTCGGTATATGACGTAAGCACGTAAAAAATTTGTATTGGGGGATTTCAGATGTGTTTCCTGTACACACAGCACTTGAGGTGAGT